GATGAGGCATTATAAGTGTCGTAGTCGTGTCGTTCGACTGTACCGAAAGCTCGTCGGCGCGAGTCTCGACGTACGAAGACGTGTGCAGGTTGAACGAAAACATCAGTTGATTGCGATCGAGTGGAAGCAGGTTTAACTGAACGCATTGCGTTTGTAAGCCTGTTCGTGTAGGATGTTAGATCCATGTTCATTGGAGAAGATGAAGGATCCACGAATTCTCCTGGAAGTCGAAGTGTCGTTCCATAAACGAGTTGAGTCGCAGTGTATCCAATGTCAGCTTTCACTGCATTGCAGATACCTAGCAAGACGAGTGGAAGGGCGTCAGTCCACTGTGAAACGTTCGCGGCTGATAGTAAAGCTTTCAGTTATCGGTGAAAACGTTCTACCAACCCGTTTACTTGTGGGTGGTAGGCCGTCGTTCGTAAACGAGTGATTCCTAAAAGTGTGGTCAGATGAAAAAATTCGGATTCAAACAGCCGTCCGCGGTCTGTGGTGATTGTTGAAGGGCAGCCGAAGTTTGCTACCCATCGTTCGACGAAGGCGGGAGCCATTGTTTTAGCAGTGATGTCCGTGATAGGTACTGCTTCTGGCCATCGAGTGAAACGGTCTGTGCATGTTAAAAGATAAGAGTATCCATTTGAATCCGGCAAGGTCCTACCAAATACAGATGAACATGATCGAAACGAGCATCGGGAGTTTTAAATGAGCCTAAGGGACATTTATTGTGTCTGATAACCTTAGATTTTTGGCAGCTTACACAGGAGCGTGCCCACTCCCTCACGTCTTTATTCATTCCAGGCCAGCAAAATCGTTCTGCTATAAGCTTGATGGTTGCACGAATACCTGGATGAGAAAGTTTGTGCAATGTATTGAAGACATTGCGTCGATAATGTTTCGGCACGATTGGGCGATTCCTACCTGTAGATGTGTCACAAAGTAAGGTCTTACTGCCTGTTCCCATCTGTTTGATGCGGAGTTTGAGAGTTGTAGACGATAACTCGTGCTGAAGATCAGTGTCTTCTTTTTGAAGCTGGGTGAGTTTAAGAAGGTCGATTTCTTGGAAACTGTTCAGAGAAGTAATGTGAGACAAGGCGTCTGCAACTACATTGTTTGCTCCAGAAATGTGTTGGATGTCTGAAGTAAACTGCGAAGTGTAGTCCAGTTGTCGAGACTCAGGAGGTGAGCACTTGTCTGAAGAGGAGCTTAACGAGCAACCGTCTCGAGAAAAATGCCAAAAGTTGCCAGGAGTTGTTAACCCATTGTTGTAATACTCCTCCGATTGCGTCTACTGCGATGCTAATGAGCGCTTCAGTGTCCTGATGAGCAGGTATTTTTGCTTCAGCGATAAGTTCCCTAATTGTGGAGAATGCTTTTCGTGCGGTGTCGTCCAAATTAATGGATTTAGCATTTCCACGAAGTTGGTCGGTAAGAGGTTTCTTGAGTAACACGCATTTCGGTATTAATCGTCTATAGAAACTTACAAGGCCGTTTAACGTTCGTAGTTGCTTGACGGTGGTCGGTTTTGGGTAATCCAGAATAGCCGCCACTTTGCTTCTAAGGGGTCGAATTACTTGAGCATCGATAGTGTGTCCTAGAAAGTCTGATGAGTCGGTTCCGATTTGGCATTTCTGAATTTTTACAGTAATGCCATGTTTCTGTAGTCAATCCAAAACAAGATCCAGATGCTGGAGATGCGATTCTCCGTCCGGACTCGCAATTAAGCAGTCATCAACATACGCATGTACGAAGTTGAGATCTCAAAAAACGTCGTCTATGAACCTTTGGAATGTTTGGGCAGCGTTTCTTAGACCGAAGGGCATTCGCTAAAATTCACCGAGTCCAGAGGGAGTAATGATAGCTGTTTCCGGTATATCGTCTTTAGCCGTAGGGATTTGGTTATACGCTTTATCCAAGTCGATTTTCGAAAAGACAGTTGTACCTTTCAAGGTAGCTGTCAAATCGTGAATATGAGGCAACGGGAAACGATTTGGAATGGTTTTCGCATTCAACACCTTCAGTTAAGTTGTTCATGGAAATACTGAGGACTTACAAAGGATAAACAGGAAGGGACCAGCATGAGCAGTCGGAGTTCTGCCTTTACTACTTGAATGTGAAATCTGAAATACTTACATCTTGATCTATTGAAGGAATGTTGGGTCAAGGTCGTGAGGTAGGTTTGAGTCTGTAATAAATTGATCTAATCGTTGGGTTTCCCGTAGTGTTTGAGCTCATTTGGAGGTTAGGTACGTTTCTTTACCTTCAAATTTTCTGAAAAGTTGGGTTCAATCTTCTTCGAATTATGATTGGGTTCAGTTTACACATGCTGTTATCATATTTATCGGAACTGTTCAGGTCTGAGCTCGAGCTACGCTTAACAATCTGAATATTATGTTTGATATTAACCTACTGTTCTGTACTGCAGTCATTCTTGTTTTGGTTACAGTACTTTAATACTGTGCACATCAACTGTGAGAGATTGTTCTGTAGTATCGGGGAAGTAGTAAGTGGAAAGCATCAATTAAATTTGAACGTTAAAATGAGTAAAAATATGTCACTAGTTATGGGTACTTTCAATCGGATTTTTAACGAGTAAATTGTACCTGGTTTGAATTTATGTGTCTAGAGTGTATTGGGAGAGTGCTCCAACGTATTTCTTGGTACATGAACATGCTGCTGTATTGCTAAAACGGATTTGACAGTTGATAATCCTCGTCACTGAGTGTTGACTATAACATAACGGATCTATGTAAGGGATTTCTCACTAACATGCTTTGTAACTAGCTAGACCCTGAAAACAGTTACCTAGCATTCAGGTATACGTAAATTGGAACGTCTAAGTGCCAACTTACTAGTTACCATGATTTTTTTTTACCTGGATCTTGTGTTATAGATCTTTTTAAGTAAATTACGACAGAAAAAAAGGAGGGTATTACCTGCTTCAGTTTGGTACCCGGACAGTGTCATAGCCCACACACAAACCAATGATAATTGCTACTACATTGTTGTGTGGCGTATATGTATCTGGTGCCCCTGTGTACTGGTGTTTATACTTTCAAGTACACAGTTAACATCATGTGTCTAAGGCTAGTTGGTTGACAGTCAAACCTTAAGGTACTATCATATATCATAATATCTGACCAAGTGATGAGCTTACAGACAGCGTTGTTTAAAAACAAGACTGTAGGTCCTACTCAGCTCAATGTTGGTGCATTAGGTAACTTTAAGTTAAGGTTTCAAACATTAGCAACTTTATGAAATTACACAACTTTTCTATTTGAAAGCTACCGTCATTAAACTGCTCAAATTAAAGCAGGGTTGAGTTTGGACATACAACTTTTTGTTTGGAACCACTTCATTTGACCACTAAACCACCATTCAACTCGAAATTGAGATAAACGCCTTTGAACTGAATTCAAGTTGACCGTTATCTGTGCTCTGTTCGATTGAATGACAATACAAATATCTGCTTATCGTCGACTTAGATGATTGGAACATGATCTACGTATAATCATCCACGGACCACATTGACGCGCGATGATGATTAGTGTAGTAGGTTGGATGGCAGATGGGGGAGGCCAAAACAAGGTATGTCACCAGTCCATGAAAACACTAGCTGTTGGACTGGACCATGTAGGTAGGTGCAAACTAAGTGGTTGGGGTCCGCCTGATAATGGTGACCAGTGGTTAGACTTTGAACGATATTACTCTAAATCGTTCATATTGGCGCAGGTGCATTCACCTTTGTCTGCCCTTATATCTGAAGTTTCTAGATTCCTCATAAAATTTCTATCGTTTTAAAAATTATATGTGATCCCGAACCTCATCTTCGATACCCAGTCTTTTCTATAACTATTAGTCCTGTTATAGCCTCTACTGCTGCCAGATTTTACGTAACAATTTCGTTTCTCTATGAAAACTTTAACTGATGTACACATGTTCTGGATTCTACGCTGTATTCGACCAACCGAGCTACTTTAATCTTTATGTTCCCACTTCAACTCGGACAAACTAAACACTGAATTTTATTATTCATGACTTACAGGAAGCAACTGTATCTCTACCGTTATGGTCGATTTCAGTCCATATTGCCTTATTTGTTAAACTACGTATGTCTGACATCCCACAAATTCCTGTTAGTCATCAATCCCGTATATAGTCCACGCCAAAAGTCATTGAATTCAGAGATAAATGCTACGTACTGAAGTCATTACTCTTTCTTTTGACCAATACACAATCGTCAGTAGGTGCACATTTACAAATTTAACTTGCCGATCTATTTTGCTTGTAACGTTGAACTTAATCTTGACATTACTTACTCAGTGTTCCTATCATGTACAAAAATATTCTCCGAATACTTGTAACTTTGTTATGGCGCGCATTTGTAGTTTGGAAGGCCACATAGTATCACCAGCTTTGTGTCCGTATTTATTCGCTGAGTTATACCGTTTGGTTTCATTGACTATATGTCGCAGCCTTATATTAGTATAGGGTAATAAGCAATTGTATGATATCTTTACGTCCTAACAGACATTAGATGTTTCAATTATGGTATAGGTTCTGCAAAATGGTCAAGATAAATAATGTTTTCTTCTCGACGAAAGTATTTTGTGAAGCAATAACTCATCATGTTGGATACCCAAGTGGACAAAAGTAACCAATGTACTCTGTTACTACGCTGCTCATTATCAAACGGACGCATTTAGTAGGGACAAAATATAATCTGTTTTCAAGCTTTTGTCTAAGGGATTCAGTAAAATTTGTTCCTTTGACATTTTCAGTTAACAAGGATTTAAATGATATTTCCATGTTCATCAAATCTATAGTTAGTAAAGTTATTTGTATCAGTATAAAGTCAAAAGTGTCTGCTGGATGCAGATTACTAAGAAATATTAGATGGGTATTATTACTCCTAAAATAGGAATGTGATATGATTTAAAAACAGTAACAAATTCAAATTATCAAGGGATTCATCTAAATATTCATTCTCTTTGTCCTTTATCTTTATATTCGTGTGTTTCGATTCCTTTGACCAGTTACCGGAATTTTGACCTTTATTCTTCATTTATCCGCGTTACTTACTGAATAAACAAGAGTCCATTGCATGTGATATACTGGTTTACGTCTTTCAATATATTCTTGGAATTTTCATGTACATAACTATGGTAGAAGATAAACCTATTTCTTATCAGGAGAGCGCCACAGAATACAATACACTAGCCAGTAGTAAAATGGATCCAATATACTCTGGTGAACATTGCGAAGCTTCCTCTGAATACGTTACTGCAATTTACTCGTACATGCCCCAGCATTCAGATGAAATAAATCTACGAACGGGTCAAAAAATTAAGGTATTTGTTTATGGTTTTAAAACTTTGCCTAACAGTTGGTCCTTACGAATTCAATTGATACATTCGCTACTAAACTGAGGAAACATAGTAAGAACTTGACTAAATTGCAAATCTGCACAAAATAAGACGAATGGACTCGCTATCCACCCTGAGTTTCTAAGTGGCGTGGTATATGATTACTGGGTAGAATTAGTTTGAAACAATTATTTGCCACAAGTCTTCAAGGTATTGACGTCAATCTGTATCTTCCAGTAGAAGTATAGGATTCTTGTTTCTATGGATGATCTAGTTAGGTATTTTGTTGTGCCTTGTACCTTATCCATTGGTTGCTTATTATTCTTGTTATGTCGTCCAGATCCGCCTTGTTTGTTTCATACCGGATTAGCAATAATGTATTCTGAAGTGTCGATTGTCTACGGGTTCGATAGAAAAATTCTGAAATCTGAATGACATTAGAGGTTGGTAGTGATCATCCGATATTTTGTTTTATCAGGCAGATAAACTGGAGGAGCACCAGTAACTGGATATTGGTGTAGCTAAATTAAGTATACAAAGCGAAGTTCAACTTACTCTCCTTAACAACTTCCAAGGTAGTAATGTAGCTGTGGACACGAGTTTAAACTCTGTCATCCTGAAATTTGTTCAATCAGTCTTCTCCACTTTGTAGTGGAGAGATTTCAGTGAATATAAAGAAGTGCCATATACTATAGAATGATTTCTGATATCTTCAAAGCACAGGATCTTAACGCTATTTCCAAGGTGAATCAATCCCCATGTATAGAATAATGTATGTACATTCCAGTCACTGCTTCTATAGCTGTGAAAAATAGATATACTTCCTAGAGCCTAAAGTTAATCATATTCTTCAGTCTTAAAACAGTTTATAACCTTGTTTTTCGAAACAATTGGTGAAATTTTCTTCTGATGTATGCATGGACGAGAAGAATGTTTCACTTTTTCAGTCCAAAATCTTTTTGTGCTATCGTCTGCCTCGGAAACCCATCTTATTCAAGTAAGATATCATTATATTAAACCTCAGCAGCTTAAGTTCTGTTTTGTATTATATTCCTAACAAAAATTTGGTACTACAGGTTAGTGGAAGTTTTCACCACATAACTGAAATGATAATACTGCGAATAAACAACATAAGAAAAGGTCATGTGATCAATAGATAAATAAACAGGGATTGTTTTTACTAAAAGATAAAGTGTATTTAATAAAGCAGTCAACTTAGATTTCATTCAGTTAAGAACTTACGTTTTAATTTACGAAGAATTCTGGTTATTTCTTGTTACGATCCAATCTAGTGTTTGCTTATAAAATAACATTCTAGGTTTTACGGCTTTTACATCACTTTTCGTTCTACTATCTACAACATTGTTATTCGAGAATTTAAAATCATATGTTGCTAAAGTTTTCGAGTTTGTCACTTCTAGGAAATCAATTCGTGAGTTGATACTCTCTACATTTTATTGGTTCTGGTTTTTGAATCTTTTTAATCTACTACAGATTTTGTCCAAAGACTGTCGACATTCTGGAGCTGAAGGATGGTGGGTTGGCCAAGAACCAAAAACAGGTTATGTTGGTGTGTTTCCTAGTGGATATGTTTTAAATGCAGATGACATTGCAAACAGTGAATCTTCAGGAGCGAATGAAATGAAGGCTAATTTTTTGAACCAAACAAATGGAATGATGTCACATTTGGGATAGGTAACAATACGGACAAAACTATAACTGTAAAAACAAAGGAAGAGATATCTCTCGACAAAAAGTTACCCGACAGTGACGTAATCCTTAGACACGGTCATGTTAGAACAATTCCTGCTACTGAGTTAGTGCAACAACAGGTGCGTTTTATTGCAAAGTAAAATAAAAAGTTTGTCTAAGAGTATTCAGGCAATATTTATTTGATTAGTGAAATTTTCGCCAGTTGGTCATAGTAAAAGTAAAACCTGGTATAAATGTGTCGGTCTCATTTCCCACTACATCAGCAAAGCGAGATAAAGTTGTCATTAATATCAGTGATGGTAGAAAATATTAGACAGGTCATGTGGTTCGAAAATAAGTGAATTAATGTATTAAATAAAATAGTTCTGAAACTCATAATCTAATATATGCCACTGTGCCCGATTTTGATCCGTGTTACGTAGTATCTTCAAACTTTGATCAGGATAATTTTCTGAACTCCAGTCAGAAAGTCTTAACTATCCAAAATGTCTCAAGTCAACAGTCGATGACTTTACGAGCTAACTTGTCCTTAGTCTTGCCGACATTGGATGTCGTGGTAACCAGTATTTTGGGATACGTAATACATATCTCAACCAGTTAAGTCGATGACATTTTGCAACCTCATCAATCGATCTACTGTTTTTAATTAGTACCTAGCGTCCAACCTTAACATCGCTCAATAGATTGTCCCATAATGCGAGATCAATGTTTCAAAAAAACGTACGACCAAATATTAGTGACGTACGAATACCTACATTTGAAGGTCACATGCGAATTCGAAATGGTCTAATGAAATACTACTAATCCCAATAAGTCCAGTACTTCTATGAGAAACAAGCGGAAATTTGAATTTAACGTACGCAGTATGAAATTGCATTGTGTTGTTGTATTTATAGTTTTTAGTAAAAGTGAAATCATCATTATAATCATCCAATCTGCATTCAGTGGTTTTTAGTTTTTGTCCAATAGGGAAGCTACACGTCGAGATTCTGGAATGCTATTCCAAAAGATGATTGGATGGAATGTCTCCGGCTCTTCCTGAGATTCTTAGAACTTCCCTGAGTTCATCCGTGGGCGGTCCTCACATTTAGATTTCCAAGAGTAGTAGTGTAGCATTATTTAATTGCCTGGGGCCTTTCAGAAAGTAATTTATACTTTTTCACTGAGATTTAGAGTTTGTCTGTCGTTTGCGTGTATCGGGTATATAGAATGTTTGTGTTGTATCTAAACTCTGCTTTTGAGAATTACCCAGTTTTCATTTGTTTGCTTCTTTCTTCTGACGTTGTTGGTTTGGACGCCTCATTTAAAGAAAGGTAATAAAGGTGATCAGACGTCTTTAAGTGGACAACAAGCTGGAAATCTTGTAGGGTAATATTCTTCAAAGTTTAAAATATGGTGATGAAATGCATAAAATTCATATCTGTTTCCTTAAAAATTATCGAATGCTCTAATCGAGCACACTATTTGCTTTGATAATATTTATTGTGGTTAAAAGAAGTAAATGCTATGGCTAAAAGTTATGAATTCCATTTGGTTTGTCACATACAGACTTATTTTCTTCCTCTTAGTCTTCTCAAGTTTAGTTTTGTTGTTGTTTGGCTATGGTACACATTGATTTAGAGCTTAATAGCATTTTATCTAACGGCGTTTAATGATTAAAATGGCTTCTTTACTGGTTAGTATGGTTTTTCTATCAAAGCATGCCACATACTAGTTTTGTTAACATATAAATGGGTTGGAGTTTTTTCTTCTATTAGATAAAATTATTTTGGTTAATTAACTGTACTCGTATTATTCACTTCTGTTACAGTTTATTGGCTCAGGAGCATTTGGAAAAGTTTATCGAGGTCTTTGGTGTGAACAGGATATTGCACTAAAAGTATTTGATCTAGCTACAAATCAGGTGAATTTTTGTTCTTCATTAGCCTGATAAATTAAATATTCTCACTAACTATAATGTTTAAAACATATTTGCCTAACTGTCCCTTTTTTAGAAATGAGTTTCTAACATGAAGTCAAATAAGTATTTGTAAATGAGCAGTGAAAATCATCGAGTACAGTTGTTGACATTCAGCGTCTAGGAATCCATACTTTGTTTGTTTGTTAACGAACTATGTGGCTGAAGTTTCGGAGACTGCCTCCAAATGCCCTGGTACGGCCTAGAGTGGGGAGAGTCCGCTCTCTCTCTCTCGAAATGCTCTCACATCGCCACGCCTATATAGCCTCTGACAGGGAAGTCCTACTCATTACCTTATTGTGGCGGGTGTGTTGTTTACGAAATTGAGAGGACGAAAAGCGAATGTCCGGTGCTTTAACCGGGTTGGTGGACATGGAGAGTCCACCTAGGGGAGTTGGAAAACCTTGATTCCAAACCAATGGTGCACATGGGCTTCAATATCCTGAAGGAACAAATGGCGTATGAACCAGTCGTTGGTCACCGGCTACCATGGGACTGCATCTCCTTACGATGCTCCACCGCCTTGTGAATCAGACCTTCAGGTCGAAAGCTCCGGGTGTGGCCCCCTAAGCACATCACCTGCTTCGGTTTAGGCACCTGGGCAGTATCACACCCCTTACACATATCGAATGAGATTTGTGTGGCGCATATGTATTTGGTGCCTCCTTGTATCAAAATCTGTGTTAAAATAAATAATAAATAAATTCGGAGATTATGAAACTCATTAGTTAGGTGAACATATCGTTATACGATCGTGATTTATGAATAGCTCCTTACCGTCCAACTTATAGAAATGGTTTATTTGATTTTTGGGCACACCAACGAAAATGCTTGGTTTCGCAACGCCTAATTACAACGATGGCAATGATTTTTAAACAAAAGAACGGAAAAATTTATTGTTAATTTTACTTAAGCATACTTGCGGTAATGATTTCGCCACATCCAACTAGTTTTTTTTGTTTTCTTAAATCTGACATCAAATTCTCATTTTTAAGAAGAGGGAAATCTGAGAGGCTGTCACCAAGTTTTATCAAGTTCATTTATTTAAATCGAACCTTAGTCAGTTGTCAGACCGGACTAGAGGGAGTGAGACTCAAAATTCATTACCGGTAATTGAAAGTTGAAGATCAGCTGCAACCCCGTTCGTTTATGTTTTTACTAGAAATAGTCTTCAGCAAATTATTGTTTGGCCCTCGGGCTCACTTCATTTACCAAGTATATTAAAAGAAAATCACATATAATACTGACAAAGTTCATTTTATAAGAATATCTGATAAACCTAGTTGTGTTACACCTGTCTTACTTATTCGTTAACACTTCATTGTCATCCTTTTCATAGGTAGACAACGAAGCTTTGCATTTGTGCAGATTATCTCATCGGAACATTGTGAGATTTTATGGGATCTGCAGGTTAGACAGCTCTAATTTCCCAGCACTTGTAATGGAATATGCTTATGGTGGTTCTCTGAACATGGTTCTCAATCAACGACCTTTATTAGGTCCCCTTGTTCTACTTGATTGGGCATTACAGATCGCTAGTGGAATGGCATATTTACATACAGATGCCAGAATTTGTCATCGAGATTTAAAATCATCTAACAGTAAGTCTTTAGGTCGTTTTCATTTTGAGAAATGCTAAGAATAAGTTAATTTATTATGGTAAAAAGTATTTCTTGTAGGAAGTATTTTCAGTTATTCTCCTTTGCAGTCGGTTTTTTTGACTTCAATCTTTGTTTAGGTCTGTTTTGTCTTCGAATGTGAACTCATCTTACTCATGAGGTTAGGTAAATCTTATTAATCACTTTTAAATAAAGGGTGAAGGCATTAATGTTACGAAGGCATATTGCTCAAAAGGTTTTATTACAATGTAAACCAGTCATTCAAAGCAATGGATCAGTGTATTTGTTTTTGAATTATTTTCCATTAGAAAATGTTTCAAGTTGAATACTTGAAATCAGGGACTAAGTGATATTATTTATTGATGTTTACGGTATTCTTCCTTGTTGATAAGTTAATTTTAAGATTAACTATTTGTTTTCTATTATTGTTTTTAGTTCTTATCAGAGAAGCTATTCAAAAACCATTTTCTCTAAATGAACTTCAAAAGTGTACCCTATTGATAACTGATTTCGGAATGGCTTGTCGTTCTAGTCAACTAGCACCACAACAATCTAAACTAGGCACTGTTGCATATGCAGCTCCAGAAGTTTGTCGTCAAGTTAGTCCTTATTTTCTTATAATTGAATATTTTGTTCTGGAAAGTTGCCGGAATAACTTACTTTAATTAAAACTACCTATCTCGATAATATAACAAAATTGAAAAGCACACTGTAGAACCCAACCACATCTTTGTTTGTGAACGAACAACATGATGTCAGACCTAATGGACTAACAAAATGTAAATATATATGTTTCTAGTTAATTAGAAATGAAAGCATGTTTGCCGTACTTATGATTCGAAAAGCTGTTGTGATCCTGAAATCTGTCACTTGGTAGTTTTCCTTGGAATGTTTTTCTATTATCGTATTCAGGTTTTTGTCATAATTATCATTCACTTTGAAGTTCGACATGTATTATTGACTGCTGTGTTGTTTGAATGTTTGAATTTACGTTGAATGAGAAAAGTTGTTTCTTGTAAAACTTAGTTTGTCTTTTCTTGGAAAATATTCAACTTTCAGTTTTATTTGCAGCAAATTTGTAAGGTCATATTACCCATTCATACATAATATTACCATTATAAATGACATATGGAATGAATGAATAGTCCTATTCAGCCATAATTTGTTCGAATTATTATTTTTTGACTTTAGGAGGGATTTTCTTTCAAATCGGATATTTGGTCATATGGTGTTGTGTTATGGGAGTTGCTTACATTAGATATACCATTTCGCGCAATGGAGCAACCTAGATTATTGTTTATTATTGCAATGTATAATTATACTCTGTACATACCACCAGGCGTGCCAGATCTCTTTGTCCAATTACTTAAAGGTTTGTTGCACTTTGGGTTGTATAAGATAGTAATATTTAAGTTGAATGTAAATCATTTACTAAGTATAGGTTGATATGCTAAGCTTTAAGCCACATTCTTTGTATGATTGCTAGTCCCACTACTTAGCTGCTCAAACCGAAGTAGATTGAGCAGGATTCGGATCTACTATTTACTGTTCTTAAGTTCTTTGATCTATAAGCCTTCAGTTGGTAAATTCCAAATTCACGTCATATGTTCCGATCAGAGAAGGTAGATTGTATTGTTTTGTTCCCATACGAAAATGTCACCAACTTCGGATACATCAACCTGTACTCGTTATCAAAATTAATAATGTAAACCTGTATTGATAAGTATATGGGAGTCAATGCTGTCATTTATACCTATATATACATGCTATTAATTTGTTGACGATTTTCATCAAAATTCATATGGGACTATATTTCTTCTAAGAATATATGACCCAAAATAACCTTAATTTCGAGAAAATTACTACATCATATGTTTATGGAATGTATTTACGATTGAAGGTAGTTTTACTATGACTATCACATAAATGTATGGTATTTTAAGAGACCTAAATTTCTGTATAGTTATCATTCATTTGTAGTAAAATAAAAACAATATGGAACATTCTATTTATTCTTATAAATACAAAATGCTTCTTGTAATCTTTTTCTCTTTAACTTAATTATTACCAAATTTTATCGAATACGAGCATCGAACCGGATTAAAAATCCTAATTATAATTAATGCTATATTCATTTGTCTTACATATTACATAGAAGTATTAGTTTTGTTGTATTTCTTACGGAAAAGATACTTTCAATCTTTATTACTTTGAATTTTGTTCTTTGAAAGTCTGAACCATTATTTTTCACCAATATAATGTCTGAAAAATCGCTCAATTCTATATTATCTGCTGTCTGTTAGTAAATTAGCATAAGCTGTGTAAATAAATATATTAATATTGATTAACTTGTGTACGAAATGTGCAAGATAATCATTTCAACTATGATTAAAATGTTCTCATATCCTAGTATATCATTTAAATTTATCAGGTAATTTCAAAACAAAGTAAGAAATGAAGCTTATTGTATAATGAATGATAAAATGTGGATTATGGTTGGAAAAATGAATTTAAACATCTCTATAAAAAATAAATAAAGAGAAATTAGCATACTCAGCACTATTAGTAATTCTGGACTGTTTCCTGGACTATTCAGGTATTATTTATTTTATCTTCGAGACGGTTACTAGAACAACTGTTTCCCATGGTCGACTATGATTTCATTATGTTTTAGTATAATCATCTGATGCTTTGACTAACTGATGTCATGTAGTCCGTGGTAGTAGGTCGGTATATTATATATATATATATACATAGGCCGTTTATTGTCTACTTTGCAATTCACATCGTTTTATAGTAGGTCAGTTTAAGTTTTGTTCTATGATGTGTGGTTCAGAAATATTATTATGTGCTCCATTTCGCACCTTATTTTTCGTCACATATCTGTTTATAATTAACCGTTTTCTGTACGACTAATTAGTATAGATAATTATGATCATCGAACAATAATTTTTTTTGATGCTTAGATTGCTGGTCACCTACTCCTGTTAGTAGACCTAAATTTGAAAATATTATGGCTCGACTTAAATCATGCAAAGATTGCAGTTTTGTAGATTTAGAACCTAGTGAATTAGCTCAAATTCAACAGGATTGGCGTGAACTTATAGCAGTCCACTATAAAGAAGAACAACAAGTATGTTGGATTTATTTATCTTAATGTTTTTAAAGAGAACAATCATTAATATGGTTTGAGTTTATTTATTGCAAATCATTCCCAGTGTCTTTATTCTGTTCAATTTTATAGTTTATCCGAAAAAAATTATTTATGTATTTCATCGTCAAGTTACAGTGGTTTTAGCCTACTATCGATATGTATAATGGTATTTATATTCTGAAAATAATAATGGTATTCATGTTAGTTTACAGGCATGATCAGCTTGATATAGATAGTAATATTATAGTATACTGTTTGAAATGCCCTAGTTCGAAATTGTTTAGGTAGTACACTTTTCACACGTATTACTTCAATGAAAGGCATCAGCCAGGAACTTTTAATTATTTTTAAGTGGACACCCTTTTGATTTATGAATGGTGTATTTAAGGTCATTTATTATGCCATCACGAATTGATCATCATCATCATCTAAGACTTATTTATTTAAACACCTAAACATTAGTCCAAGGAAACACCAAATATATATGTGCAACACTTTATCGTTCGATTTGCGTGAGAGCTGGAATACTGCCCGGGAGCCCAGACTGAAGCAGGTGGTTTTCTTAGATGGCCACTCTCCGGGCCTTTGACCTACAGGTCTAATCCACAAGGCAGTGGAGCAACGTTAGGAGGTGCAGTCACATGGTAGCCGATAACCACAATCGATTTATACGCCATTTGTTTCCTCAATATCCTGGAACCCATTTGCACCACTGGTTTGGAATAAGGGTTTCCCACCCTCCCTAGTTGGATCCTCTGTGTCCATTAGTCCGTTTGAAGCACCGGACACTCGCTTTTCATGTTGTCACCGTAAAGAAAACCTGCGCCACGTGAAGGTAGTAAGACTTCCGTGGCAGTGGCTGTATACGTGTGTCCATATTAGAGCACTTACACACAACCAATAAAACCCCGACGGCTGACACAGGAAGAAAACGGATTGCAGGGAACCTGATATTCGACGTAGAACGAACAACACAAAACGAATCGGTACAATTGTCGTTACCATATTGGTAAATTATAAACTTCAAGCATACAGAAATTTAGTGAACCAAAAATAATGATAACCGGCCAGAAAGCAAGGACCATGTGGGAAATTGAATTGGAAAAGAATGTGCAAGCAGTTATCGTTCCTAAAAAGATTTAAGCAGTTTTAATAAAATATGATTATTCTTGAATATGCCAAATATTCAACTGTTAATCCTTGAACCTGTTACTCAGCTTTGCAGTCATTCAATATTTTCATGGACTTTTCCAACGTTGAAATTCGTTTCGAAATCATATATTGTTCCTGTTATATATGTTCGTTGTCACTGTTTAACTTTGTTTAGTACACATATTTTTTCACAAACTTTACTTGGTTCTTTTGTATCCATTGTTTTTTCTGTTTGCACTAAGTTAATTAAGAACAAATGCGATACCTTGTCACTTTTATGTATTGTCATTTTTATAGTATTTTTTACATTTCATATTTATTGGTTAGTATTAAAGAATACAATATGTTTATGATACAAAAAAACTAGTTATCTAGTTACAGATTATTGAGATTTGTCGCAACTTTATCCTGAAAATACTTTTTCGCTCACTACTAAATAGATGTCATTTAAACAGTGTATTATGATTTAATAATTTTTTGTATTGCTCATTTCTTAAAAAAAACTTTGTTAGACCGTAGCTGAAGCACTATCATCATCGTTCAAAAGTGGAAGTTTAGATTTTTCAACAGAACTTTTAACACAGCTGGAAATGTTACGTGATTATCGCGAATCACTGGATAGGGTCAGAGCAGATCTAGTAGAAAAAGCTCATCAACTTCATATAAAAGAGGAATTGTATAATCGAGTGGCTGACACAATGGGTGTAAGTTAATAAAATTGATTACCTTTTTTTCTCTACTAGATGTGGTTTTGTCCATACATATTAAAAAAAGAAAACGATTTGTATAAGTTATTCACCAGATTTTGATATGTGGGTTACAGTCCACTAGCCTGAGATTACTTATTTCCAGACGAATGATTTTGTAATTCATGAGATTTTTTAACTCAGCTGTTGTCCGACTTTGTAGATATTGATTGACCACGTGATTACATTTACAGTCGAATATCAATGAGTATTAACTGTTCAACATTTACAAGGGTGCCTTTGTTAATGTGCCTATTTTCAGTTGATCAAACTAAGTTAGAAGTTGAAATTGGAAAAATATGCTTGCTTCAAAGTGTAACTCACAAGTTCTTTGCTTTTGAAAGGGCGTGGATTTGTGTCGCAGGGTTTAGTTACAAATCGCTATTGATCCATTTTTCATTGATTTCCTTACCGTTATAAATCAATAGTTACGTCCTGAATTCCCAGGATTTCTTTCTTTTTATTTTGTATTTTGTCTGGAATTAAAAAAATTCAATGATTACTTTTTATTATTAGTTCAGACTTCGCTAACTCAAGTTTGATGATAATGATTATGGAAACAATCGATTCGTTGTTTTGTTCTGTTCTGTAAATTTCATCCTTATATATTTTCTTCAAATTCCTACTTTTGACTGTGTTTAAGAAAAACAATACATAGATTGACTATCAACTTATAATACGATGCTATAAAATCAAAACTATTGTAATAAAAGCACTTGTCCCTGTTTCACTATAGATAGGATCCGAATGGTTACGTGACTTATGGTAATGTGTAATGCTGTAAAATTATTGGTTATGCACATAAGTAGTGGATGTTGTTTGCATCGTAATTTCCTTTAGGTAATTTATGTCAGTAATGTAGAAAAACAGAAAAATTGAAATAATTCTTCAGAATATTCCTACATGAGTGTTTTCTTTTCCTGTAACCATTAATTTTATCCTGTCGTATTGTTTTAAGAATGACGCGTTTGTATATTTAATATTAAAGTGTATTTGCGTCGTATATCATACAATTCTCTCTGTTTAAAAATGGGAGGATTTTTTCACGAAGCAACACAAAGAATGAATAACACTTTGTTCTGTATTTTTGTACGTGAATGGAATGTTTTTTCTTTGTGATGTATATCTTATCTATTTTACCCTTCTTGTTTTGTCTCTCGTTGTCATTTGTATTCTCGGAAATATTTGCAAGTAGTTTAATTCTTACCTGTGTAAGTCATCTACGATAACCAGTGTAATTGTGCTACTTTGTATACCGAAATATTGCCAGCTAATCAAAGAATCACAATAGGGGTTTTCAACGCTCACTATTTTTTTTCGTAATGTGACCTAAATACACCTTACGGTAATAATATATATCTATACCATAGTGTGATTTCAGTTAGTTTAAAGATCACACTGATCCGGCGATCGATGGTGTCACTGCCTTGACGTGGTGGTCGGGCTTGTCTATTGTGATGAACCAATCGGGCTATACTGGCTAGAACAATTGTTCCTCAAGGTCTTACCTTACCACGCAGGTCGATTGGAGAGTTGTAAGACTAAAAGCAGTAAACCTGAGATCCAAGGGCGAAGCCGTACTGTTTATTGTAAAATGTGTTTCCCTCAGACAACCAGCATAATAGCGATGCCGCCTTCCCACAAATTAAGGGTGGGGTTAGGAAAGGTCAACCCTAAAAATTCAAACCTTGCTCTTTCTACGGATTTCTGTCGCTGGCGGTAAGGTCTTAACAAGTACGGGGCTAACTTAAAAATTACAAAAAGGTTGTGTGTGACCGGCTTCAATTAGTTGTCTGTTGGAAACTGCGGTCACGCTCTCAGGTCACTAAAACCAATTATAGCCCAATTCCCTTCCCAGATACCTCTAGAAGAACCCTTCCGTTGTGTGGGCAACCGGGAAGTGATAATCACCCTCATACCTATAACAACACTCAAGACCGATGTATTCATGATCAATTTCTCTCTAATTTCTATTAGTCTACCTACCTCGACTATCAACTCTAAACTTCCTCCTCAAGTACCAACATGACCAACGATTTTAGTGCGCGAACTACTGTTTCAGGTCTCCTGAAACTCCAACCCAAACTACACATCGGGACTTTCAACGTACCCTATGTCAAATCGGCCAGCAGGCCCCCTTGGCTAGAACCCTAGAATCTCGTACCATTGGTGTATGCTGTGTCTCCAAAATGTGCACACAGAATCCTAGTGTGGTCATCTACTTGTCCTCACCTAGCCGAAACGTTGGACAGACGAGATATACCCTCCGTTTATCTGGCGACCTGACGGCAAGTTCTCGTGAACTGGTGAGTGTAGGCATAGAACTAAGTATGGGGGTAGAAGAAGCCATGTTGGTAGATACAAACTACTTGGTTGGAGTCCACGTGACTATCGTAACTAGTGTTTGGAGACTCTGGATGACATGGTTCAGAATCAATCATAACGGCGTAGGTGTATATACTCTTTGTCTTCCCTTAAACCGTGAGATTAAAACTACTTCATGCCTTGCTTTATATGAACCAATACTTTCTTCCTGTATCATATCTTTATACACAATCTTTCTTTTATACATTACTGACATTGAAGTGACTACTTTTATGAATATGGTGTTCATCTTGTGCTAATAAGGTGTGGTAACTTGGACTGATGCATATATGTGCCTGGTCCTACATTTTAGATGACTGATTGACGATGGTGTGATTCAGTAATAAGGACTTAGTTGCACGAGTGATTAACATCCAACGACTAATTTTAGTACTTGACATAGTCCTATTTATTAGTTTTATCATTTAATGGCGTCATGGCAGCGTTTCTGACCACAGTGTTAAAGTGAACGATTTCATTTACCATACAAATGTAAATTAGTTGTGAAACGCAAATAACTCCAGGATATATGTATTTTAGATTCTTGATATTTTGTAAATGGTCTCTAAATTTATAAATTCAGGCGCATCATCAAACTTCTCTAATATTATGTAAAAAATGTTATGTATACCCGCAGAATACAATACTTCATGGTCATCAAAACTTATTAAACAACCTAGATAGATTTATAAATCTGAAATGTGTTATTTCTACCCAAATCAGTAACTCAATTTAAAATTATTTTAATAATCGTTTATTGCTTGTCATCGAGTTTTTTTTTACTGAATATTCAGCAACATTTTATGTTTTTGGCTGTACTGGCTGCTAATCATTTTAAAGATCCTACTCATAAAATTCAAACTGCTCAACCCAAACCTCCTCCACCTAGAAAACGTCCGTTTGTTCGTAGTATTTTTAAGCGATGGGGAACTAATGGTAATCCATGTTCTACACATAATGACTACGTTAATTCAGCTACTTCGTCCACTAATAATTTCCAAGTAAAGGATCTTAAACGGTCAATTAATTCTTCACAATATACTTCTAATAATCGTTCACATTTGAATGTAAATACAAATAATTCTTCAGATTTGAATAATTCTTTTTGTGATGAAACTCAATCGATTTCGCGTGACACATCCAGTCGAGTTGGTTGTAGTCAAGGTGGAATACCTTTAATTTCACCTCCCACAGATATGAAACATGTGGTTCATGTGGACTCAGATTGGTTTACTGGTCAAGGATTATGCGAGTCAACGATGCGGTTATTTCCTTGTAAGTTTGTTTTGCATCTGTTAAATTATTTCCACTATATGATACTTATAATTTCAATGTTTAGCACCACATAACTTCTCAGGGTACTTCTTAAGAAAAAGAATGTTTTGAAATACTATTTCGCTATCTCGGTTTTATTTTAAGGAAGTTTAATAAAGTATCACATTGTTTTACATTCCAGCTGCTAAAATCACAAGCTCTTCACTGGGTTCAAATACTGACAAATATCGTAATATGTCACCTGGTCATTGTTACAGTCCTCAAATAAGAACGTTTGTGAGCACTAAGTCGGATAGTAATATGACAGATAAATCTAATCCGAAGTCACCACGTATTTATTCTAGTGGAAATAATATTACAGATCTTCGATCACGTGAACAGCGTTTTGTTGATGTCCAACCAAACTCACAAAGAAATTTGAATCGGTTGCCTAGGAAACAAAATTTTATTCGGAAATTTGAAAGTATGTTTAATTTTTATTACCTGAGTGCTGTTTTAATACTGATTTAAACTCTTAACTATGTATTTTTTTCTTTATTATAAATTGATGGTTCCGACGATTATCTACTTGTTTCCTTTGCAAATGTTATTTTAATTCCTATGTCTTTTGACGTTGACAGTCTTCCGCTTACGGTGAATACTGATAGGAAAGGCTCTGACTTTCATTCTTACCGCATGTTGTCTCATATTTTATTTATTTTTTCAAGCACATAAACATTGATACAAGGAGGTACCAATTACATATGCGCTACACAAATCATTCGATTTGTGTGAAGACTAGAATACTGCCTGGACGCCAGAACCGAAGCCATCTTTTAAAGTAATAAATAAGAAATATCTATCCTAATAAACTAGTCATATAATGATTTCAGTCCACTTTTGAAAGATGACTGTCATGGAGATAGGGTTTTTCATACCACTGTAGTTTTCCGTTGACGCTTGCAATGTTTATTAGTGAAAACGTTTGTCGTATAACTTCTCTTCTTCAAATAGAAGAGTTTTTTTACTATCGCGTAATACTTTAAAGACGTATCCTTTACATAATTTATGTTCTTTCCGACAAATCGTTAGTTTTTACTAGGAGACGGTAACTTCAGCTGAACTTGACAACTACTGGTTCGTATATATTTGAATTCGGGTTAAGTAATCGTGAGAATGTCAAGCGTTACTACCGTGGAGTTAAAATGGAGTTGGAGAGAAGTAAGATATGAATCTTCAGGCTAGTGGTTCTTGAACCACTAAGCCTTCATTTTACATAGACCAAAGTTGTTAGATGCCTTCGCTGTTTCATCTTGATACGTACATCACTGGGTAGTTTTTTTGGGGTCCTTGAGATACTTTGGTTGGTTCTATCAAGTTATGAAACTTCTGTCATCATTGAGATGTCCATCACAATTGATTGATCACTAGGTGGTGGTCAATTTCATCTGTGTTAAATCCTTCTTAGTGTGGATCAAATGCTATCGACCAAGTCGCAATGTGACCACTAGTCTAGGTGCCTCGACATTGGGTGCACTATGTTGAGATAGAATGATGGTTGAAGGTAGTCAACAGGAAACCCTGGACCCGAATTTCGTGCTATTTGACACTCGTCAGCAAAGTGTACCTGTAATCTTGAGGGAACTGGTGCTCCCTGACGGGTTCGATCCCGTGTCACCCAGCTTTACAATCAAAGACGTTACCACTGGGCTATACGGGCCACGGGAACACCAGTCCCCTCAAAACCACAGGTACACCTTGCTGACGAGTGTCAAATAGCACGAAACCCGGGTCCAGGGTTTCCTGTTGACTACTTCCAATCACCACTCTACCTCGAGATGCCCATCACTTTATCAAAAAGTTAAATCCAAGTTCAATTTTGATCGTTAGTTTGAATTTGAAATAATGCCAGCAAGTGACAAAAAATAGTCATCTTCATTTAATGGTAATGGTTTTTTAATACTTTTTACTCCTGGTTGTAGCGCGTTAAATCTATTGACCAAAACATCTGGTTTTGATTTTGCGTAAAAGCTGCCTAGATCTGGAGAAGTCATTAGTTGTTTCGATTCACGTGTATTTGACAAAAAATATGCTTATGATTTTCAAAACGTTAAATAATGCCACCACTGATCTATTTTAGATAACATCTATTTTGAATACCTCAGAAATAATGCCGTAGACCTTGCTTATTTGTATAACATTTTTATCACTTGGAGCAGTTTCTCAGCCACGAAGTCGCCTGTTCGAGCACTTCACTTACTCCAGCTCGACCAATTTCATAGTATCACTAGTCCTCACAATTAAAATGTTGCTGCACGTCAATCACACAGATCTGTTCTGGTATGTAAGGTGACAAGCAGTTTCCTATGTTATCGAAATCTAATTGACTTTACGTTGTCATTGCAACTTGTTGATTTTTGTATAATATCAGGTTTTCATTATTTTTCAATATATTCTACTAAATTTTTGATTGTCATCCTGGTATCATATTTTCTGAATCTTAGGTAAAAACAATTTAGATTTCCTACAAAAGTCAAGTAATCACTCAGTTGGGTTTAGTAATTTTTTCACGCCGATTAACTCCTGTTGCTATGATACGAATAATGACTTACATCGTAGTGAACATTCTCAGAGTGGATATCATCACTGTAGACCCATAAAACCCATCATAGGAATTGATAATCGTATGCGTAATAATAATAGTCCACCGTTTTTTGAAAGACGCCGTTCAGCTTCTGGGTAAGCGTTTTTTCGAGTAATTATCTTGTAATCTTGGTATAAGATTTGTTTTATTGAATGTGGTTCCGTAAAATTACGACTTTTTTTAATGACTCTATCGTCTCAACCTACCTGAAATAGTAATTTTAATTTACAATGCAGAATATCCACAATATATTTCATTGCAGGTAGGCTTAATTCATCAGCAATGTAAAGTTTAGTGACTTGACAACTTGATGTTTTCTAATATAACTTCATTTCGTTATTTCACAAATTCTTGCATTTTTTGTCTTCCCTTAAATCCTAAGTTTCTCAGTCAGTCAGTAAGAACGTAGAATTTTGTACATACGCAAATCAGTTCGAGCCGCCATACCACATTAGCACAGAGATGCAGTTGTCGATTCAAATCCCACAGTGGTAGAGGTAGTAAGAGTATAAGCAGTAATCGGTAAGATTAGGATTTGAAGATGTTATTCAAGGAGTATAATCCAATGAAATAAATTTGGAAAGAGGAAAAGAAAAGGGACATGATAAATTCAGAAGATTAGAATTTGGGGAACATAAAGAGTGGATGCACTTGCACCATTGCAAACGAATTGAGTCATGTCATTCAGGGTCTCTAACCATCGGTTGCTATCGTCTCTCAGATCCCAACCAGGTAGTCTACACCTACGAACATGGCTCAGTCCACTTGTCAGTGACTTCATAGATTTGTGCCATGTTTTGGTCTGACCTCCCCTAGCTTTCTTCCAACCTACTCCTACACCACAAAATATCGCTCGTCGGGGCGGTCGGTGGTTGGACATACGTAACACGTGTCCCAGCCATCTCAACTGATGAAGTTTCATTACTTCATCAATTGGCTTGCCATCCTTACCTAGTACCCGTTTCCTTACAACTGCGTTACTTACTCGATGGTCCCAGAATATACGAGCAATGTTTCGAAGACGCCTATGATCAAATACTAGTAACCTATGAATGTCCTCTACTCTTACCGGCCATGTTTCACTGCCATAAAGTAGGACGGAATGAACTGCTGCACAGTAAACCCGTCCTTTGGTTGGTAGATGGATATTTCGCCCACGCCATAAATGACGCAGGTTGGCAAAAGCTAGTCGAGCCTTTTGTGTCCGTGCTGCGATTTCGTCACACATCAGACCACAAGGGCTGATGAGACTTCCAAGATAAGTGAAGCGGTCGACACACTCAACTACTTCACTCCCTATCATTAGTTCGGGTGTCGATGCTACCCAATCCTGGAGTAATATTTTGCATTTCGAGAGGGAGAATCGCATCCCGAACATGCTTGCATTGTTGCTTATAGTGGGCAGAAGACTCTGCATTTTGTCAGCGTCTTCACCAAATAGAACTGTGTCATCAGCATATTCTAGGTCAAAAAGGGAATCTCCTGGTATAAGTTGAACCCCTGGAAATTTAGGTGAGGAAGGTGTTATCTCTAAAAGCACGTCAACGACAAAGTTAAACAAGAATGGAGAGAGTGAACAGTCCTGACGAACGCCACTTGAGGTGTTCAATTCTGATGACAGTTCGCCATAAGCTCTCACTCGACCAGTTGTGTTCGAGTAGAGAGCCTTTATAAGGTAATGTGCTTCTTTGGTACTCTTTTCCGTGGCAAACACTGCCATAGAACTTTACGATCATCCAATTTCCATGTCACGTTTGACTAACTGAACATTATAGTAGGTCATTTTTAAAATTTATTCCTCATCCACAATAAGATTTTCATTTACATTCACACCAACGTTTTTAGTTGACCAACTTATTTCACACGAAGAGAAGATGGCTCAATCAAACTATCCATTTTTAGAAAACCAACGTGGTCAGGTCAATACTTTGGTTATTATAGTCATTGCCCTATGCAATACAAACGTGGTTTGATAAGGTGCCTATTCGTATTTGTACAAATGATGCCATTGATAATGATGTTAAGTTGCTAAATAAAACATTAATGGAAAATGTCTATCCTCTGAAATTCATAAATAGGTGGAAAGTTCATGGTACAGTGAGACCTACTGTAGCCTTGGTAAAAAAAGCCTATCACCTTACCATTCAGAGGTGATTCAAATAGCCTTTTCCTGAAACAAAGGCTTAAATCAGCCATCAACAAACGTGTTGCGCAGCAAAGGTCATTATCAAAGAAAGAACAAGGTGCATGCTTCATCCAAAACCTAAAAGACATGAAAACGGTTGTGTCACATCCCACTGTGTTAACCAGTTTAAATATGTGTGTGGTCACACATACATAGGGAGGAGCAATCGTGATCTCAAAATTAGGGTGTGTGAACATGTACCAAAATGGTTGCAGAAACAAATACAATCAAGTGACCCAATAAGAGCAGAGGATATACATATCGTAACAGGCCATAAAATTGATCTGAACTCGGCTTTTGTGGTGTTGTATAAAAGTGTAAAAGAGCGTATGCTAAGGTTTATTGAAGCCTTAGCCATACGAAAATTCAGACCCCCTTTTTGTATTCAAAAACAGTTTGTTGTCACCTTAAACCTACCCTAGTAATATTGGCTTATTCCCCATAGTGATTAAGTTTCAAATTGTGTTCACATTATTATTATTACTTGTATTATTATCCTTGTCTCCTGTTACCTCATTTCTATTTTAGTTGACCTTTTATTTTTATATATAAATATTCTTAACAAGTATACGTGTGATCAGATTGTTCGAAATGCATCACATAGTTCTGATAATCTTCGTCTTCTTATTACATTATCAAAATTTATCAAAGGGACTAATTGCTTTAATACATGTAATTGGACGTGACTGCTGAGTTATGTCTAAGATATTTAGAGATATTTTTCGTCACCGACCGTCATCAAATGAAAACTCATTGAAAACCATAACACTGGACATTAGTTTCAACCTAGTCTGGGATTCCTGATCAATGCTCTCTTATAACCTCACTAGGAATTAAAACTAACGGTTCTGAAATTGGAAATGCAGACCATTAAATTCTTATTCCGTTTCGGTTCGTGTCGGAAACTATCCTCAAATCGAACTACTTTTCACGAACCACTCAAATAATAGAAATTAATTCATTGAATCACAATTATTATTCAATCGATTTCTCAGTAATTTCTCGATGATATTTATATCAACCAGTTAAGTATACCTGGATTTGTGATAACTGATACATATATTTTAAGAATAAAACAAATCGAAGAACACAATCATATCTTCTTTCGGGATTAGTCTTTTTTTAAATAATGATTTCGCTTGGTAGATTGACCGAGATTTTAGTACTGTTGAATTCATTTAGATAGTTTGATTACGGCGGTTTCATTGTGTTAGACAACGTTATCAGCGCTCGTTTCATTGTTATGAAGAAATGTTTGGAAATGACCAATTCGTAGCAAGATTTTTACTACTCTTTGTAACAAGTATATTTGTCGATAGTAAATTTTTTATTTCTACTTATGATAAATTTACTGTAATGATCGCTCAATGGTATATATATATATATATATATATATATATATATATATATTAATTCCATTGTTTTACTATTCACTCTTATTTATTTTATTGATAATATCTATTGCAGACCGGTTACCTTTTTTACTCGGTATCCTAAAATCAACGATCAGCTCAAGAGTAATCCTGATGAAAGTTTACTCGAAGGGAAACTTAACGAATTACTTTGTATTATTTGTGACCCTTCTATGCCGTTACTAACATCTGGTTGTACTCAACATTATTATGGAAGATCTCTGTCTACTACAACACCCCCTACTGCTTGTTTTAGCTCAGATATTACTGAAAGCTCTTATTTCTTGAACCCCACTGGAAATTCAACTGTTGAAAATGTGTTGTTGTCAGCATTTCGTCTTCTAGCTTCCTTTTGTTTTTGGGGTGTTGAACCTGATATTGATGACGGGAAAGCGAATTCGTTAATTCCTCTCTATTCTACACCACGTTCGTCCATAATTTTGGAAAGATTTATCCTGTTTCATATTATACCTCACAATCGAGTCAGAGTTATAGTAGACAGAAGAATTCAGTGAGAAATGCTGCTAACTCATCACTATTATTCGGACACAGCGAATCTGATTTTCAGCATGTTTTCTCAGGTAATTCAGTTGTCCTATTGAAAAGCGCAAGTATAAATTTTCAATTCAAAACACACGACGTATACAGAGCGCTGATCGTCGTCGCAATTATAAGTATAATACTTCTTTAAAATGTCCTGTTTGTGTAAATATGGGCCTTGACTTTATCCATCCATGTGAAAAGTTTCCAGATCATCAAGTTGAATTCGGGGTAAGAATCCAATAATAAAGTCCTATTTTTTATCCATCAGCTTTTACCTTTTAAGTTTTTGAAACTGTATGGTAAATTTTGGAACTGTTTGCAATTAAGATTAAGTTATAAAAGTTCAAATCTTTTCGGTGTTGACCTTAAGAACTACAATCATTTAATCTCTTTCATGATATATACATCGTGAATGGATTGCCTGGTTATTGTCATCGGTCACAATCATTTTTAAGCAGACTCGGATTACTTGTTGTTTAATGGCAATATCGAGACAATCCGCTCAGGATGCACGTTTACCAAAAGAGTCTGGCCAATTACAGTCTTTAGCACCAACAACATGAAGATCCAAGCTTTTAAAATAGAATTTTAACTCATCCCTATTGTACAAGGTATTGTCTATCTTGAGTCAGTAGCTATGGCGATAACGCGTCAGGCATATAAAGTAATAAAGTATTGGGTTGAAGTCCGTAAGTGACCAACAACGCTGGCATACATATATGAAAAATACCTAGAATTATAACAAATCACATGCTGCGTATTATGCTGGGCATAGTTTACGTTAACTTAATACAAGAATATCGTATCTTTAATAAACATCACTCTCAAATAACTAATATTATGTCAGATAAAATATCACACTGGAAAATAAAACAAATATTTCACTGAGTAATTATTATACTGAATGAAAAGCGGCAACGATGTTGACCAAAAATCAAAATGAGTAAAAGACTGTAATTTTGTCGTTTTCATCCGGTCATATCAAAAGTTCTCATCTGAATCAAACATAATTTCAACGTAATTTTGAGCCATATTTTTTCCTAAGTTTTCAAATAAGGGATCGCGTGCTTGTAGATATTTTGCAGAGCGTAACTGAATTAGAGGACATAGTTTTATTAGCTGACAGAGATGATGTAACATCTAATCACAATGTCTGATGTCCTGGACTAAACGTTGCATTCATTTTAAAGTGTGCGCTTTTGGTATCCTATTTTAAACAATTTTTGTTTTTAGTATTGCTGATCGTTTGGACATCCAATATACTCTTCTCCAGCATTATGTACCTGCGTAAAAATCTCAGTGTATATTGTTCTGTATTATTGAACGTCTAAATAAGCAACTATTTTCGTCTGTTAAAATCATAGGTTTTAGCGCTATATTTGTGTAACTTTTCCATGTTTGTGTATAGGACCCACATTCACCATTTCTCGGTATGCTGGCAGGAAGTGGAAGACGACCTAATCTATCTCCAAATATGAAGGAAATAAATCATTCCAATTTTCCAATCATCCCATCAAATGAAATGATTTCAAGTGATAAGCGAGAAAACTATTTCACTTTTCAACATGATAATTTTTTGAAAGATATCAATCAAAAAATAGGTGGGCAACAACAGTGTAAGCAAAACAAGCGCAGTGATAATAGTAACAATAATTCCCAGCAATATACTCATTGTAGTTTATGTAATAATAATCAAATGGAAATAGTTGAGAAAAATGAATCCACAGGTAACTTAAATAATGCATTTTACTGTCCTCATCTTTCTGTTTGCATTGACTATTGTCAAAATAACACACGAAATAATGACATAGATGTAGCCACTATTAAGACAACATTGCCATACATACCGTCTTCACATTTAGCACAAAGGTGGTCATTTGAGCATAGTAAAGAGTTACATAAAGATATATGCTCTTCATTCTGTTCGTTTTTATCGTGCCGAAAATTGTCAATTGATTGTCAGTCGAGTATGATTTCGGATTGTTTAAGGTCAGTAGATAAACATTCAGTATCTGAGTCTTCTGGTCATTCAATCGAAAGAAATTCTACTAATCAGTTTTCTCATTCTCTCGTATCAATGAATCCTGTTGGTATGTCACGTGATGCGTACTTAAAGGTGAGCTTTTTTGTAGACTATTTATCGTTTATACAACATTTGGCTCTGGGTTTTCAAGTCATTTTTATGATTATAAGAGCAAACACTGTCAAATAGTGGTAACATATAATGTTTATGAATTAATTCCTTATTTCTTTTGAGAAATTTGGACTAAGAGATAATTTCTTGTAAAATGAACAGTTCCTTTTTTGGGTTCTATTCATTTTGGATTTTCATTGTGTAAGCATATCGTGTCAGTTTGGTTGAGTATTTAAATGTTTTCATTTTAGCATTTGAAATCAATCGCGTTAGGATTCATCCGTCTTAACATATTTCGGTTCTCATTTGTGTGGAAGATACTTTCTAATTTAGGCATAAGATAAACTAAGAAGTTGACGCACCAATCTACAAGTAACTTCCCCTACAGAACCAGTCCGAGTTATTGTTGTTTTTTTCTCGTCATCAATGAGTAGTTGTACAGAATTAGTGATACCCAAACTCGTGATATTTTAGGAACAAAGGAGATCCAGCAAAGTTTGTTAGTATGATGCTTTTTAGTTTGGAATATTCATTTGACTGTTGTCTGTAAAAGCGTGTAAAGAAATGGCCCAATATAATAGTCAACGTTTTTTCAGTAGTTATCTTTGTTCATTTACATAAACTTCATTGCAGGCAACACAAGACGGCTTTCTTAATCGGACCATTTATGAACCATCTGAAGATCCTGAATTTTGTTATTCCCCTATTCAAATCAGACATCTCAATCTAATTCTCTCCAACGTTCCAGCGATAATCAATCTTTTTCTAATTCTGGTGTTTATCCAAATATTCATGCATTGTTCATTGAGAACGACTCAAAATCTGAATCTGGATCAGAGTTTGAAAGTTATGATGATGCAAATGAATTAGATTATCCCAATTTTATTTTACATTCCTCTTCTTCACCTCCAAAACACTCTCAACAGCCCCAAAACTTTTATTCACCTTCAAAAATACATTTAAATGATTCAGATAAGCCCCCAGAAAATAATGACTACCCCCACAATCTTAATGTAAATATTGATACCTGTCGAGAAGATTATGATCGTGTAACTCTTGTGCCAGTTGAATCCGGGGAACTAAGTAACGTAATTCAACCATATTCAGATAATGAGGGAGAAAGAGAGGTTAGTTTTTAGTACACTTGCTTTATTTATTCAAATATATGTCCTTCTTGCTTCCATTACTTAATTATTTAGATTTTTTTGGACAAGGTTTTTAGGATAACTCATATTTACCCAAGTGCAATTTTAGATTAATGTCCTACGATATTTTGTTTCTAGGGTTTTATTTTGTGATCCTTTTTTTCTATTTGAGTATGAAATCATTGTATCAAGTGTTTTAGGTCATTTACTTTTCTATAAGGAATATGGTGTTACTTTATATATGCTGATGTTGTTGACTATTGGTGTTTACTTTTGCAATATTCTTTTAAAATTGTAATATGTGAATCAAGAATCGTTTGTTATATAAAATCGAATAACATTGTTAATGTTGCGATCGACTAATATGAAGTGTTAACTTGAATCAGTTTATAAGCGAAATGATATGGTTACGTAATTTTTATTTTTATTCCATTATTTTCTCGCTCACCCCATGTTGACTGTATTTATTCTGATCATTTATATCAATTTCATTTCGCTTATAAACTGATTCAAGTTAACACTTCATATTAGCTAACCCCAACATTAACGTTTTGCAATATTCGTCAAACATCCTAACATTTATACCCTTTCTAGTTGTCCCTATTCATTCGTTTTCGATCCGGTACCCTGATAAATCAATGAATTCGTTGAATGTTGTGAAACAATAATGCAATATGACGAATGGATTAGGTTCATTTGCGTTAGATGTTTAATTTCTTATCTCCAAGCCTGTTTCATAATTTACTCAATATTAAGAAAATAAATAAATTAGATCCGATCATTAATATATCTATACTGTTTAAGACATTTATTACATATTAGTAAGAGTTTGTGATTTTTCATATTTGCTATTCAGGACTGCAGTTAATTGGTCTCTACTAACACGTGCATCCTGAATAAATTGCCTCGATATTGTCATGTAGCCACAATTTTTGTTAATGATGGATTATGATTAACAGGTTTTTTTAGTTAATGTTTACACGTAATGGAAGATTATTTGTTTGTTTTGACCTTTTGAATAATAATTTTTTTCTCCTTATTATTTTTAAAATCAATTATGATTAAAAGCATAAGGGGAGACATCGTCTAACATGGCGATCCCCTGCACCAAAACAACAATGTACTCAAATAGACCATATTGCCATCAGTCATCGTTGGAGATGGTCTATAGAAGATTGCCGCTCAGTCTGGAATACCTGTTTGGACTCCGACCATATGCTTCCGCCTCACTGGACGCAGTAAAAACACATTAAGAAAACCTATTAGAGTCGAATTCAGTGACGAGGAAACCAAAAGTAGATTCCAGGAACAACTGAGGTCACACTTAGGTTGTTCTGAAAACAAGGATGACCGAGATGTTGCTTGGAAGGATATACGAACAGCTGTGAAGAAAGCAGTAACATATATTAGTGATTTGAACCACAGGACTACGAGAAACCAATGGATTTCTACTAAGTCTATTGCACTGATGGATTCTCGTAAACTCATTTCATAAGGCTATGAACACGATAAAGAGCGAAAACAAGTGAGATATAAGTTAAACAAAAGTCTAATGAACGAACATGAGCAGTGGTGGGCAACGAAAGCAAAAGAGCTGGCAAAGAAGGCGCCTGTAGGTAACACAAGACAGCTCTTAAGACTAATAAAAAAACTGAAATTAATAAGTCAACTGTGAGTCAGTCAGTAAGAACGTAGAATTTTGTACATACGCAAATCAGTTCGAGCCGCCATACCACATTAGCACAGAGATGCAGTTGTCGATTCAAATCCCACAGTGGTAGAGGTAGTAAGAGTATAAGCAGTAGTCGGTAAGATTAGGATTTGAAGATGTTATTCAAGGAGTATAATCCAATGAAATAAATTTGGAAAGAGGAAAAGAAAAGGGACATGATAAATTCAGAAGATTAGAATTTGGGGAACATAAAGAGTGGATGCACTTGCACCATTGCAAACGAATTGAGTCATGTCATTCAGGGTCTCTAACCATCGGTTGCTATCGTCTCTCAGATCCCAACCAGGTAGTCTACACCTACGAACATGGCTCAGTCCACTTGTCAGTGACTTCATAGATTTGTGCCATGTTTTGGTCTGACCTCCCCTAGCTTTCTTCCAACCTACTCCTACACCACAAAATATCGCTCGTCGGGGCGGTCGGTGGTTGGACATACGTAACACGTGTCCCAGCCATCTCAACTGATGAAGTTTCATTACTTCATCAATTGGCTTGCCATCCTTACCTAGTACCCGTTTCCTTACAACTGCGTTACTTACTCGATGGTCCCAGAATATACGAGCAATGTTTCGAAGACGCCTATGATCAAATACTAGTAACCTATGAATGTCCTCTACTCTTACCGGCCATGTTTCACTGCCATAAAGTAGGACGGAATGAACTGCTGCACAGTAAACCCGTCCTTTGGTTGGTAGATGGATATTTCGCCCACGCCATAAATGACGCAGGTTGGCAAAAGCTAGTCGAGCCTTTTGTGTCCGTGCTGCGATTTCGTCACACATCAGACCACAAGGGCTGATGAGACTTCCAAGATAAGTGAAGCGGTCGACACACTCAACTACTTCACTCCCTATCATTAGTTCGGGTGTCGATGCTACCCAATCCTGGAGTAATATTTTGCATTTCGAGAGGGAGAATCGCATCCCGAACATGCTTGCATTGTTGCTTATAGTGGGCAGAAGACTCTGCATTTTGTCAGCGTCTTCACCAAATAGAACTGTGTCATCAGCATATTCTAGGTCAAAAAGGGAATCTCCTGGTAGAAGTTGAACCCCTGGAAATTTAGATGAGGAAGGTGTTATCTCTAAAAGCACGTCAACGACAAAGTTAAACAAGAATGGAGAGAGTGAACAGTCCTGACGAACGCCACTTGAGGTGTTCAATTCTGATGACAGTTCGCCATAAGCTCTCACTCGACCAGTTGTGTTCGAGTAGAGAGCCTTTATAAGGTAATGTGCTTCTTTGGTACTCTTTTCCGTGGCAAACACTGCCATAGAACTCCACGATCAACCGAGTCAGATGCCGCCTTAAGGTCGAGAAATACTACGATTATGGGACGTCTGAATGTGTGTCTATGTTGTAGGCCCTGACGTAGTGTGAATATTTGGTCTATACAACCACGTCCAGGTCGAAAACCAACCTGCTGTTCACGAGCTTTAGTTAGGCGTCGAAGTATTATTGAAGCTGATATTTTAGACACTATATTTGTCAAACTGATTCCTTTGTGATTGTCACAAGAGGACATTTGTCCTTTCTTATAGACTGGCACGATCAGTGATTGAGACCAGTCAGATGGGATGACGTCCAGTTCCCAAATTCTACCTAAGACCTCAGTCTATCTTGCTGCTAACACTGGACCGCCATCCTTAAAAATCTCAGGAGTAAACCTGTCAGGGCCTGCTGCTCTCCCACACTTCAGATTTCCTATTGATTTTTCAACTTCATAAAGAGTCGGAGGACCTACATTAACTTGCCATTCAGGTTGACTAGAGATCGTGGGAAACAGAAGTGTGGCTGAAGGCTAGTTGAACTGATCCCCAAAGTGTTCTGCCCATCGATTCAATCTCCTGGATTGAGAATGTATAATATGTCCCTCTTTTTCGGAGATATTTTCGCTAACAGTCGGGTTCCTAATACCGGTTTCCTTAACAATTCTGAACAGTTTTCTGCTGTTACCTATTGCCACTGCCTTCTCCATCTCTTTTGCCTTCGCTACCCACCACTGTTCACCATTATTGCGTATGGTTATTATCAGTGTAAGCGAGACTTTATCGAGGAAAAAAACGACACTCTTATCTCCTCCGAGTCCAAACGTTCAGAACGATGGGTGGGACATTTATTTAACAGTTCAGCCACTGTACAAATACCCACCACTCTTGGACAGCGTGAATGGATCATTCAAGTAGGTCCCTCGTATCTAGCTGAAGTTTCAAAGGCTGTTGCTAATCTGAAACGAGGAAAAGCAGCTGGTCCAGATGGATTGGCTCCAGAGGTCTTTAAGGATGGTGGTTCAATTTTAGCGATTAGGTTGACTAATATTTTAGCTAGAATCTGGGAGTTAGACGTTATTCCATCTGACTGGTCGCAATCACTGATTGTCTCAATAAATAAGAAGGGGTTAAACTCATCTTGTGCTAACCATAGAGGGATTACTTTGACTAGTATAGCATCTAAAATACTAGCCTCAATAATTATCGGACGCCTAACTAACACTCGTGAACTGCAAACATGAGAAAATCAGTCTGGTTTCAGACTTGGTAGTGGCTGCATTGACCACATATTCACCATTCGTCATATTCTAGAGCACAGGTATACTTATCGGGGTCTTCCTTGACTTAAAAGCATCATTTGGCTCTGTTGACCGAGATGTTCTGTGGCAGTGTCTGTCATTAAAACATGTATCTCAGAAGTACATAAACCTTTATGAAGGCTCTTTAATCGAACACTACCAGTGGAGTCACAGTTTATGGCGAACTGTCATCTGCTTTTGCAACCTCAAGTGATATCTGTCAAGACTGTCCACTATCTCCATTTTTGTCAAAATTCATCATAGACCTAGTGATCGACTGAATTCTCGGGCATTGGTCTCCTACCAGGAGGTTCACTTATCGAATCAGAATACACAGATGACATAGTCCTGTTTCGTGAAGACACTGATAAAATGCAGAGTCTTTTGGTAGCACTGAGCAACAATGCTAGAATGTTTGGGATGCGTTTCTCTCCCTCTAAATGCAAGTTGTTGCTTCAGGACTGGTCTGCGTTAACACCTGAACTAAGGATAGGGAGTGAATGGTCGAACGCGTTGACAACTTTACTTATCTTGAAGTCTGATCAGCCCTAATGGGTTGGTGTCTGACGAAATCTCAGCACGGATTCGAAAAGTTCGCTTGGCTTTTGCCAACTTACGTCACCTATGTCGTAGGCGAGATATCCGTCAATCAATTAAGGCACGAGTATACTGTGCAACAGCTCGTTCTGTCCTACATTACGGTTGCGAAACGTGGTCATTAAGAGTAGCAGATAGTCGTAGGTTGCTAGTGTTTAATCGCAGATGTCTTAGAAATATTGCTTGCATTTTCTGGGATCGCCGGGTAAGTAATAGTGAGGTTAGACGCAGAGTATTAGGGAATGATGGTAAATCGGTTGTAAATATCATTAACTGAGATGGTTGGGCCACTTGTTACGCATCGCTGAACACTGATTACCAGAACGTGCAGTACTGACCAGTGTTGGGGATGGTTGGAAAAAAGTTAGATGTGGCCAAAAGAAAACGTGGCATCAGTGCTTGAATTCACTAACTTCTAGTCTGAGCCATGTTGTTAGATTCAGACTATTTGGTTTGGGTTGGCGTGACTATCGTAACGGGTGTTTGTAGACTAGGTAATATGGCTCAGATCGATCACAATGGCTTAGCTTTATACTCTCTCTGTCTTCGCTTAAATTATGTGATTAAGATCGCTTCATATCTTTCTTTCTACGAACTAATTCCTTATCTCAGTATTATATCCTTATACACAACCTTTTTTATATATTACCACCACTGAATTAACTACTTCTATGGATCCGGTGTCTATCTTGTTGTGCTAATGAGGTGTGGCAACTTGAATCGATGCATTTATGTGCCTTGTCCTACGTTGTAGCTGACTGACTTTAAATCAATTACCCATGAGTGAAAGGCAGAACCAATCCGCTTGTAAACATCGTCATAGAATGTGTTTAGGTTGCAGTCTATTATCTGGTCCTTTTATAAATGATTAAAATATCATGATATGAGAAGTCAGTTTGGAAGAATAAATAGTGTTCACCTGTCCTGCCTATGGTGTTTTTCTAATAAAAAAGTTTGTATTCGTGCTAACTTTTTCGAATATGTCCTATTTCTCATCCGTCTCTTCTTACAAATACTTTTAGCCTTTAGCCGAATACTACAATGGTAATTCGACTACCAAAATGACTGTAAAGAGGGTTCTTCATCGAAGTCAAGCAATTCGTGAGCGACATAGACCTACATTTTGACCCTTTTCCGAAACCGATCACTTCCTAGCTGTGTAGACAGTGATTGCTCGTGTTTGGAATCCTGTTCATTCGTCCTTTATCCTTCGGATAATGGTGTCGATGAAGTCTCTGATTTTCCTCACAAGGCGAAAAGTTCCAAGAGTCCTTCTGGTCCATTTGTTTCTCTACATTCTACATTCATTTAATCTCTTTCTGTTTTGCCATGTTGACTTATTTTCCAAGTCTGTCAATCAATAACGTATTTTCTCTGTGATTACTATCTGTTCTATTTTCACTATTTAGGTTGGACGCATTTATTATTATTTTTAGGTAATTTTTGATGGTCAATCTTACATAAATCTTTTTAACACCTTGTCTAGCACACAGTATCTGTATTTTTTTCAGATGTATTTTATTTAATGCATCTGTGTCTCTCTTACTTCACATTTATTGTGTTTCAAAATTACATTTGTAATCTATTTTGAAAATAGTTATTTGTTCTAAAAGCCTTGCATGTTACATGTGTGATGTTTTCTGTATTCAAAATTTGTATAATATATTACCTTTTTAATGACTACAATGAATTTGCTTCAGAGTCTTTCGATGTGTCGTTCTACTACCGCAACAACTATTATTTTTTATTTTAATTGTGTAATTTGGCCTGCTTTTCATTTTTAAATTCTATTCTTGTATATCTTTCCTAAGTACTGGACGCACTAGTTTAACTTAAGAAAGGAATTTCTAGAGATGAATATCTATATATAAACCGTCACAAACAATCTTATATTTGCTATTAGGTCAAGGAAATTTTGTCTTTTTAGACTCTGTAAATTTTTTGATCTCATTTTTTATCTTATACTAAAGTAATAATATGATATATTCTGAATAAATATTATGGTTTTGTCTCAAAGAAAACTGTTTATAATATCCAAAGTACAGTGTAATAAATATCAGTTAATAAAATGTGACTTTGGTTAATTAAGTTCTCAAAGTTTGTTTAATTGATTCATTTAGCATATGCATCTATTGGAAAATAAAGACATATATATCGGTTCATCCTTTAGTATTTAACTCATCCATATGTACTACTATTTTATTTCGAATATGTTCTCGAAGCCTTATCTGGAGCTTTGTAAATACGATTAGATACATAACTCTCATTTATACCTACAAAGTATTATGATTAAAATGTAATCGGTAACATTATTCTGTTCTCTGATAAATTATTGATTCCATTCATTTAAAGCGTTTTGTTACTGACGCTGTAAAGAGAATGTCAGTGACTGTGGGTTTTTTTTAAAAAAATTCCTTACATGAAATATGAACATTTATCCATAGTTTATCAGGCGAAAACATCCCTTAATATTATTAATCATCAAGCTTGTCGATAAAGGTGTGCAATAAACTAGTGTTACTAAAAAGTTATGAGGTCTATATACTGATCCTTTACTATGAAAATCTATCCACATGGATTCTGTGGTTGAATGGTCATTACGACATAATTATCAAAGTATTCGGTTGGGTAGAAAATGTGCGGGAAATCAAGATGTTAGTAAAACATGCTTTTAAGAATTAAATATAACAAAAAAATTATGACATTTTTTCTGAGCGATATTCAGTGAAAGTTGTTAGTAGAATTTAATTCATCCACTTTAACAAATAGGAATTACTAGCACTGAAGTTGTGAATAGATTCATCCGTTCATATAGGACGATAACCATCTGAATATTGAAGGCTCAAGGTGATGTCAAAAAGTTTGGAACACAAGACTGAATATGTTTCAGTTGCGTTTTTCACTGTATGCCTGATGTATGAATAAAATTTTAAAGTGGAGCTGTCATACATAGAACTATCGGAAAATCGACTGATTTCATGCATAATCACAGGTAACGTAAAATAACAGAAAATACAACAGAATAATAACAACATGAGGTTATTTAATTTGAGGTCAATAGTCAAACGCTTTGGCATATCGGATAATCTGTGTTTTGTATGGCTTATCACTCTTTTAATTACATTATTGCAATATGAGATTTGGAGGCACTTGGGTTTTTCCAAATTTGGGATATTGAGAAGCCTGTTTAAGTAAAAAAAATGGATATCTTAGCAGATTTAACTGCTTATTATTGTAATCGGAAACACAAAGCTAATTGAAACATTATTACTGCGCGAATATTATTTAGTGTCTAAGGTCTGAAGGAGCCGTGGAACTCACCTTTGCCTTCAGGGTTCTAAGAATCGCTGCCACCATCAACGTATGCCCTTGCATTTCCCGCTGCTCCATGTCTTGACTAAATGCAGTTTGCTCACTCACAACTTAGACTCCCCATAAATTAATGTCTGGGTCCCTGAATTGTCAGGGTTAGTTGAGTTAGAAAATGCCTTATTACAGACTGCTTAATGTCTTTCATGGCCATCATCCTGCTACCTAGATCAACCTACACCTTTTGTAGTATCGCGTTAGACACCATAACGAGACGTTCCCTTCTTCAAGCTACCCCACTTCTTCGGAAAACAGTCCAATTGCCTGTTCGGTGTTAGAGAAAAGGTTATAGGTTTATCCTGATACATTTCTAATTATTCGCTTTGCTAGGCGAAACTAGATATTCTGGTTATACTGAACGAAACAAGCACTAGACAGTACCACCAGTCTGCCACCCCTATATTCACGTTATACAATCGATTTGCACGTTCCAATCACTATAGTTCTGTAGCAGGGTTTACTCTGGGTTGTTTTCGGAAGTATAATCCACCATTTTTGATTGTCAACGTTTACACTTCCTCTCCGGCCTGACAATACACACGAGAAAAAGTCACATGTATACTTCACGGGATAGACCGGTAAGGTATCTATTCTGTTTCTTTAGAACCATATTCTCAATGTTAAACCTTCTACAACATCATTGCTGCAACATTATTTCGACTCCATTACTATTCATGTTTTATATTCGTTTCGTCGTTCTAATTTGGTATGGTCACTTGGACCCGTGGACATTTTTGCCAGGTCCTGCATTGATCATGACTGACTGACCAAGGCAACAGAGTGCATAAACAAGGGAATAGAATGTTATGTAATTCTGGAAAACTGTAACCTCCACCTTCATTTTGGCTTTGGATTTTCTAACATCTAATGTCTAGCGCATATAGTGAATTTATTGTTCCGTGTTTCGCTTGACTAAGTTTTTTTATGAAACTTTTAAACTTAATTCATTGTCACTAACTTAGTGTAAAATAATAACCACGTAATGATTTTATACACATAGCGCCTATACACACAGCTTCAGAAATGAAAAAAACATAAAAATCATATTCCTAACTAACATTTGAGAGCCTCTCTTAGATTTCTGGTCAATTGAGTTTCGAAATTTTAAATTCATCTCCATATTTGAATATTGTGACAACGATTTCGTTTCGTTTTGCGAATTACTTTCTTTAAACGAGTACGTATATCCATCAGTTGTATCATTGAACGTTTTTTCCTACAAAAGAGGGTTCAGTATGTTATTCCAACAATAAATTATATCAAATAAGTTAGGCGATTTATTCTAGTTTAGTTACGTATAAAATTAATATTACGGAAAATAGTTTATCAACATGTTAAGGTCGTAAACTGATTTATTAACAGAGAAGTGGAATGTTTCCCAAAATTTTAGTCTGAAAAACTGATTATCAATGGGGTATAATATTGATGTTCCCTGATAACGAATAAACAGAATATTTCTCCCACATTGAAAAAAATCAGACAAAAATATGGTATCAATAAAGTTACATTGCAATGCCGTGTGGATTCTATCTTTCGAAAAGCAGCGCCTAGTATTTGTTGAGAAATACTTCAAAACCATGATTATCATTTGATGGTGAGTATTTGGTTTCTATTTTCTTTCCTTTGACTGATGAAATTTACGAAGTTACAAGCATTACAAATTATCTATACACAGCTAATGTGAATAGATATCTTCAGTTCTTCCTTAAAATTATTATCCCTTTTTGACTAAGCATCAATTTTAGCTGATTTCAAAGTTAACTCATACGATTCATCATTTTAGTACTAGTATTTATTTAATGAAAAAACACTTTCAAGATTGATACCTCAAAACCAAACTCCCTTGAATTTCAGTAATCATTTGCCGAGTGGTTTCAGCCTAAGCACAGCTTCGGAAATCATATAAATATTTTCTTAAAGTCTTAGTTACGCTGACAATATTTTTCAACAGTAAGTTTAATTTATATTTCCTATACGACGTTTGTTTAACTTGCCTTACGAACAACATATTTACATATTCATCAGTTAAATGTATCCATTGAAAAAAAATCATACCAATGAAGTGTAAACGCATCTATTACCAAGTCTTCATAACTCTCGTTCCCCGAAGCAGCATGGAATGATATCCGAAAAGCTGTGGAAAGAGTGGTGATATCTGCTAGTACGGTAAACCACAAGGTTAGGGAGCAACACTGGATCTCAGCAGCATATACCGCACTGATAGATGCTCAAAAACTCATTCCATCTGGCTTTGAAAATAACGAAGAGCGGAGTCAGCTTAAGCGCAAGCTGATAAGAAGCCTACGCAATGATCGCGAACAGTGGTGGGTAGCGAAGGCAAAAGAGATGGAGAAGGCAGTGGCAATAGGTAACAGCAGAAAACTGTTCAGAATTGTTAAGGAAACCGGTATTAGGAACCCGACTGTTAGCGAAAATATCTCCGAAAAAGAGGGACATATTATACATTCTCAATCCAGGAGATTGGATCGATGGGCAGAACACTTTGGGGATCAGTTCAACTAGCCTTCAGCCACACTTCTGTTTCCCACGATCTCTAGTCAACCTGAATGGCAAGTTAATGTAGGTCCTCCGACTCTTTATGAAGTTGAAAAATCAATAGGAAATCTGAAGTGTGGGAGAGCAGCAGGCCCTGACAGGTTTACTCCTGAGATTTTTAAGGATGGCGGTCCAGTGTTAGCAGCAAGATAGACTGAGGTCTTAGGTAGAATTTGGGAACTGGACGTCATCCCATCTGACTGGTCTCAATCACTGATCGTGCCAGTCTATAAGAAAGGACAAATGTCCTCTTGTGACAATCACAAAGGAATCAGTTTGACAAATATAGTGTCTAAAATATCAGCTTCAATAATACTTCGACGCCTAACTAAAGCTCGTGAACAGCAGGTTGGTTTTCGACCTGGACGTGGTTGTATAGACCAAATATTCACACTACGTCAGGGCCTACAACATAGACACACATTCAGACGTCCCATAATCGTAGTATTTCTCGACCTTAAGGCGGCATCTGACTCGGTTGATCGTGGAGTTCTATGGCAGTGTTTGCCACGGAAAAGAGTACCAAAGAAGCACATTACCTTATAAAGGCTCTCTACTCGAACACAACTGGTCGAGTGAGAGCTTATGGCGAACTGTCATCAGAATTGAACACCTCAAGTGGCGTTCGTCAGGACTGTTCACTCTCTCCATTCTTGTTTAACTTTGTCGTTGACGTGCTTTTAGAGATAACACCTTCCTCATCTAAATTTCCAGGGGTTCAACTTATACCAGGAGATTCCCTTTTTGACCTAGAATATGCTGATGACACAGTTCTATTTGGTGAAGACGCTGACAAAATGCAGTCTTCTGCCCACTATAAGCAACAATGCAAGCATGTTCGGGATGCGATTCTCCCTCTCGAAATGCAAAATATTACTCCAGGATTGGGTAGCATCGACACCCGAACTAATGATAGGGAGTGAAGTAGTTGAGTGTGTCGACCGCTTCACTTATCTTGGAAGTCTCATCAGCCCTTGTGGTCTGATGTGTGACGAAATCGCAGCACGGACACAAAAGGCTCGACTAGCTTTTGCCAACCTGCGTCATTTATGGCGTGGGCGAAATATCCATCTACCAACCAAAGGACGGGTTTACTGTGCAGCAGTTCATTCCGTCCTACTTTATGGCAGTGAAACATGGCCGGTAAGAGTAGAGGACATTCATAGGTTACTAGTATTTGATCATAGGCGTCTTCGAAACATTGCTCGTATATTCTGGGACCATCGAGTAAGTAACGCAGTTGTAAGGAAACGGGTACTAGGTAAGGATGGCAAGCCAATTGATGAAGTAATGAAACTTCATCAGTTGAGATGGCTGGGACACGTGTTACGTATGTCCAACCACCGACCGCCCCGACGAGCGATATTTTGTGGTGTAGGAGTAGGTTGGAAGAAAGCTAGGGGAGGTCAGACCAAAACATGGCACAAATCTATGAAGTCACTGACAAGTGGACTGAGCCATGTTCGTAGGTGTAGACTACCTGGTTGGGATCTGAGAGACGATAGCAACCGATGGTTAGAGACCCTGAATGACATGACTCAATTCGTTTGCAATGGTGCAAGTGCATCCACTCTTTATGTTCCCCCAAATTCTAATCTTCTGAATTTATCATGTCCCTTTTCTTTTCCTCTTTCCAAATTTATTTCATTGGATTATACTCCTTGAATAACATCTTCAAATCCTAATCTTACCGATTACTGCTTATACTCTTACTACCTCTACCACTGTGGGATTTGAATCGACAACTGCATCTCTGTGCTAATGTGGTATGGCGGCTCGAACTGATTTGCGTATGTACAAAATTCTACGTTCTTACTGACGGACTGACCGACTGACACACCTCTCGTTACTAAACTGGTAGTTTGCTGGTTTTTTAAGATTTAAATTTTAAATAATCACAAATTAGTGTGGCAATGATTGCTTTTAAAAAATTCTCAACAATTTATATTGTGATTTGATCTTAATGTGGGTCGGTTTTGTTCTCCTTTTCATTTTACCGAAATTCGAGAATAAAGTTTGCTATATCGCATAAGATCTTTAATGATGCTAGAATAGTTAGTGACAAATCTTTGGGCTCTATCGTGAATAATAACTAAGAATTTATTCGCACAACATTCTGAATAGTTTTTCTTCGTTCCATATACCCACTAGCTATTTGTTTGTTAACAGCGATTTCTATACTTAGTATGGTTAGTTTTCGTTTCGACTTGCCGTACAGTTTGACACAGCTACTGGCTGTTACTTAGTTTATCATACTTTTTTCATAAGTTACTCTTATATAGCTATTGGAAGAAGCACTTCTTTTTAGATTGTATTATGACACAAGTAAACTCTTTAATTGTCTCACGAACTGAGATTTGTAAAGTACATTGCTCGATAATTGTTTGATAATAGGACCGTATTACACAAAAATCCGTGTTTTCGTTTTGGATTTAATGAGCTTATCAAAGGTTTGGTCTCAATCCTTAAGTCAGTTTCACAAATAGCAAGTCTTGTTTTAACAAATACAAATAAATATTTGGTTAGGAATTATAAATGTATATTGGATATGTAATAAAAGTGTTCCGCATATAAAATGTTTTGTTTGAATATTACAATGATATTTAAGCCATTGGAACTGTGTAAGTTATTTAATTGTAATAGGAATGAAAAATCACTTTCACATATATTGAATAATATGAATATGAACGGAAACAACGATAATCTCATACTTTCCTCTTAAATCATGACCAGATTTCTTTGACACTTAGTACCCTATCGTTAAATCCTACGTAAAGAGCTTTGTCTAAGTTCATAATATGAGAATTAGCGAGTTTACACGTACAAATACTTTCCCTTATCTTTCTGTGTATAATAAATTACAAATAATTCGAAGAGTTCCAAATAAATTAAAAGTGAAGACAATATATACTGTATGCATTGATATACTGGATGATATCCTACAATAGTAATAGACTATGTTCAATAAGTTAATCAATGTCACTATGTGTCTATAACCACATTTTATGCAACATGTAACATTAATGTAAAAGACGAACCAATATTTGATAAATGATTTCAAAGAAACTCACGTGAATATTTTCTTGGCTGCTGTGAAATTGAATAAAAAGCAAAAGTTAAACATATACATTATCAAAAAATTCGATTTAGAATTCTTTGTAACAATAAACATTTGTAAATGAAACAAGTTATGTCTGTTAAGTTATAAATAAAAAATCACTTATTATCATTTTATGAATATTGGGCGAGAAGTTTCTCATTTAAATATCACCTTTCAGATAAGTGTTTTTAGTAGAATAATTTTAATGCAACAATGACTAATAAATCAATGGTAAAGTATACGATGTACAATGTTTTTGATGGACAGAAATACATATTTAATAAACGAACACTAAGGTGGGGGCAACCAATTTATTGTTTAATACGAAATTACAGAGTTCTTTTGTAAAATACGAAAACCATACATTGAATACTTTATTTGCATATCTTCCATCAATTTTTTCAAACTTCATCGTTTCTTCATTGTCGTAACAATTACTCTTTGTTCCCGTTTTCTTCGATTCGATCTTCCCAGGCTTCTTCTGCCAGGCGTTCCACTTCTAATTGGTGTTGTATACTACTTATGTCAGCAGATATAAGTGACATACACCACACTCGTCCCCCTCTAAATAGTCGCTCCCGCTCTGGTCCTGCTGGCCGTGCCATTTTCTCCTTTGTCATAGTCTGTGCAACGCTCTCCATCAAAATGTCAAGTCCGCCGGCGCGCTGACCTCCGTAGCAACGTCGACCAGCCGGGACATCTAAATCCAATGTCCAACCAGCACTCTGTGTGTCTAGCGCTTGCAATCCAGCAACCTGCTGAATCATCTACACTCAATGTCCATCCAGAAGCTGCACGTCCCACTCTCCCACTCCGTTGACGGCAATAGCTACAGTTAACGCCACCTCTCTAAAACACTTCGCTCGACACCACCTCTCCGTACCAGACCGCCCCACCCAAAGCCTCCCCTCCAGGCTAAGCAGCGACGTCCTCAGAACTGTACCCTCTCCACCTCCTGATTGGCAGTGACACCAAATGTAGTGATCGAGAACTCAGGTGGAGACAACCAATTTACCATCAGATACAAAATTACAGAATATCTTCATAAAATATGAGAACCATACGTTATATACTTCACCTGCAAATCTTCCATCACTTGTCCTTTACATTCTGTTTGATTCTTCCAATTTACATGGTTCGTTTTATTTCGAATTGAGTTGAAATAATAAAAACCTTTTCTGAATATGTAATTGGAACATTTTGTTACCTTGGAAAGTTACCAACAAAATAGTTAGTGATCACCTTTTTTATGACTGAGATTCTTAAGTGAATAGAAGATAAAGGAGTTTATCGTGAATGTGAAAGTGAATTGAATTCATCTGTATCTATCTTATACATCCAAATTTTTTCTGTCAGGGAATTTATTTACTGTCAATTCGAGTTTCAAGATTCATGTGATGCATGCAATCTGAGTTATTCGATTTTGATACTGATACCCAGTTTCCCTGTAGATTCATCCATTTATCAATTAGCTTATGTCTGGTCGCCTCAAGATTTAAAAGCTTATTTAGAACGTTTCTTTAGAAACGTTTTGTGAATCACATGCCGTATTGAAGAATTGAATAGGAAATATTGCTTATACGTGTTGAGATCTTTTAATATTCACTGAATAGCTATAGCCTGAAAAAAAGTTTTAGTGAAAAACTTGTGAGGAACTGATTGCTTTCATACTTTGTCTCGTAAGGTGCACCGAAGCTTACTTACCTTGCCATAGGCTTTGGGTCTCGATACTGAAGGAGTTCTTGAATAAATAAATATATTTGTGTCTCCAGATATTTAAGCAATTGTCGGAGATAGCCCTTAAAGAAATAAAATGTTAGTAAAATTGATGGTTCGAAAAATTAATTGTATGAGAATACACAAAATTTGTTATTGTTAGCACATACTTTTATGCTTAAGGATTTTCTTGAAATTTACTAAACCTTAAATTTATATGAAAGCTAACTGAAAAGTGTGATTTATTTTATGCTATAAAAGTTCTAAATTCACAGTATTTCACATCATATCACTTCCTGAGACAAATCTTCCAAATGCTATAAATTACATTACAATCATTTTATATTTTATTGATTCTTTTTGGCCTTATAATAATAATTAAACGCTAGTAAAAACTTCGCTCATCTTTCTAATATCCATTCTCCAGTTATACTGAATGTACATCAAAGATAGTTAAAAGAAGGGGTAATTGGGAGTTTTTATGAGTATTTATGCAAAAATACTAGTTTATACTAATGTAAGCTGAAATAAAACTCATAAGCAATATTTCCAAGGAAGTGACTGACGTAAGACACAACCTCGAATGGTAACTACAATTTTTCAGTTTCATTCATGAATTAAAAAGTGTTTTTCCTGAAACTTACTTTGTCACAATCATCTATTCAAAAAAATTACGGTATGTACTACTCACAACAGAAAAAGTCAACAATGGGTTTGAATCCATATGACCATGAAACTTTAACAAATGCACAAAAAATATTGTTGACATAAATTATAAGACATTTATGAGAACAAAAAACGGCTCATAGAAAACGTTTGTAGCTTACAGTAAATGATCGACCAGAGGCTAAAGATTAGTGGTTATCTAATAGCTCTCCATATTAAACAAATATCAGCAAACAAAATTATTAACATATTCAAAATAAGCTATATCATTCATGTTTTGAAATAACAAGTTTATTAGATTAATAATTGAGGAATCAGAAAAAAATATCTCGGCAATGCAGGAAATTTCTGTGTTTGTGAATTCTAACTGTCAGTCGATATCAGTATAGGGTTGTGAAGATTGCTGAGTTTCAGTGAAATCATGAACCAGGTTGGAACACCACTGAGTCTGGAAGCAATGTACAGCCATCTGGCCTTAGTATAGGACTCCTCATCAGTCAGCATCCACTGCTCTAAGCTCGGGAATTGAACACCTCTAGACCACTGCGCCGGCTGCCAACGGCGTTAGTGTTAATCTCGCGATATCGTGGAATGGTTGAATCGAGACATTAACATTGTTGCATACCGGATCAATAGTTTAGAGGACAAGTGTTTTTGCGAGACCAGAGGTCCTAGGTTTAATTCCGTCGTGCAGGGTGGCGGATGCCGAATTCTAAGTATTCCCGTACTAGAACAAGACGGTCGTCCAGTGCTTCCAGATTTTCAATGTCGATTTACAGATATTTGTTTTCCGTAAAAAATTAAAAATACTCTTATCTGTTAATTTCAGTCCCAAACTTTTACAAGCGAAGGGAAACTGAAGAATAAATTTATCAATTTCTGTAAATCTACTCGCCACCAGGGGATTAATCTGTGATGAGTTGACTGAGGCCCTTGGTAACCTTCAGTTATATTTGAAATGAACATCTCTATCACTGTTAAACTTTTTTGACTTACGGGCAAGCTATCAAATAGCTCTTTTATTATTTAATAAACAGATCATTTAGTACTTCAAGTTTCCAAAGTAAGACTTACACCTTTATCATGTGAAGAATGATCATCGTGAAGTGGTAAGAACCTGACCAGGGACATAATTTTGTTCAGTGTTAATATGTAGCTAGATACTGCATTGGTAAATGTGTTTTCTGGAGTAAATGAAGAATTTCGGGATTCAAGATTATATATTTGTTCTCCAAAATTCGATCTGATCTGTTCAGGCTTTAGATTCTGAAAGTTCATTGACTTTATCCGTTTTCCTAATTTCAAAAACTGCAGTAAACTGTTGTCAGTTAAATTGTGAGATGCTATAAACGCTTTTATGGAACTGATAAGTTCGTAAAAAAACTAAAGGGTCCCTATTTAAAAACCTTATGTAGTTGGTTTGACAAAAAGTGGATATTACTTAAGCGTTTATTAAATATAACTTCATCTGAATGTCAACATTAGGTAAATACTAAATCTCCGAAATCTGCCTTTTTCTAAATGTAAAAAGCTTTTGTAAATGCATTGAATTATATAATCGTTTTACTATAAATTCAGCTTCAAATTATCTGTGTAATCCAACATCCTACCATTGTCTAAATATTTGTCCCTCATATAACAAACTGTCTGTAAAACACATAAATGTAATGTTGAGAACACTTTCTGTTAATAATAAAGGTAGGTAGCACACAACTAAATAATTCCAATGATTCTTTTAAAACTAAATGAAGTTTGGGAATGAGTTGGTAGAAAACTGTGAAGGGTTTCATGATAGGTTTGCCTGGTCATTAATATTTAGGGTATTTCAATACTCATATTTTCATGTTACGAATACAATATACTCCTATATTAATCCATGATCACGTAAAAAGAACTAGGATTGAAAACATAAGGTGATTGTTGAATATGGTTTTTTATTGCATTTTTGGACCTCCATTATATGTGATTAAAAGCTTAGTGATCATAAGAGAATAAAAACAATGGTCTATGATCTAACCTCAAGAAATAAGTAAACTATGAATTTTTTATAGTCATGAATATTTTAAACAAGGAATTTTAACAGCACTGCTGATAACTTCAAAGTGAATAGTTCTTAACCAGATGTTTAGAAAATCAACTTTTATACTTGCGTAACTCAATGGAACATATATATATATATATAAACATATATAATATAATATATATATATATATATATATATATATATATATATATATATATATATAGAAACGTGTATAACGTTTTATGGTGAAAATAGCAATCACATTTTTTTCTCTGGATAGCATTGTTTGAGCGATCACTGGAGACCATGAAGAGCTGCTCACTTATGAATCAAAACCAGGGTATATAAATATTGCTCCTAATGGGAGGACTTGGACATGTGTGTTTTTAAAATCAGACTTTAAGACGAAATCTCCAGTTTAAATAAACCAGCTTACTAACTCACGCCTATCAATCTTCTTGGAGCATAGGGCGACGGGTAGAAATCGCCAATTAACCTCATCCTGAACTCTCCTTTCCAGCTTTTCCAAGTGCTATTCATTCTTTTGATCTCTGCCTCCAATACCTGGTTCAATGTGTTTTTTGGTCTACCTCTTTTCCTTTTTCCTTGAGGATTCCAAGTTAGCTCTTGCCTCGTGATTCAGTCTGATAATTCCCGTAAAGTGTGACCAGTTCACCTCCAGTGTCTTTTCCTAATTTCATCTTCAGATGGAAGTTGGTTTGTTCACTGTCATAATAGGCTGTTGCTGATGATATTTGGCCAACAGATGTGAAGTGTCGTGCGTAGACAGTTGTGCTTCTACTGAATCAATAACGGTCTGTTGAAAGGTTTACCTGTTATTGATCCTAGTGTAGTGCCTCTGTAGTACTCACACTTATTACGTTCTTCTTTCTTCATTATCTTGATGAGGTATCTTTCTTTCCAGTCTATCGGCGCTTTCTCTTTCGCCTCAATCATTCCAAAGAACATGTGGAATGCCTTTTCAACTGCCTCCGTATCTGACTTTCGTGCATCAGCCGCTATGGTATCTGGTTCTGCTGTTTTCCCACTCGACTTATCTAGTGGCCATGTTGATTTCTTCGATTGCTGGTCGGGTAACATTTATAAAATGGTCTGTAGGTGCTACTTCGATTCCCGATAGTTTCAGAGGGGCTGTTCTATTCAAGAGTTCTTAAAAGTTTTATACTCAACATTTAAGTGTTATATCCTAGTGTAGATTAAACTACAGGTAACTTCCAAGGTCTATTCATGGACTAATATTCTATAAATATTCTTATTGTATAACTATTCAACAATTACATTATGCATATTTATATTCCTCTTATTAAAAGCTTTATTTTGACCTATAATTTATTATTGTACGATTTACGCTTCTTAAGTTATGTTCAGTTTATTAACTAATGCCTCCCACATTCACAGCCACTTTTTGGCTTATTTGTGTACAAATATTATTTCCTATTTTATGGTACGTTGCGGTTTGTCTGATTGATATATAAACCAAGTATGTCTGAAATAAATGATCTGCTCTGATTCGGAAGCTGGTATTGTGTTCTGTACTCAAGTGGAAGGGCTCGTAGGACATAGGACCAATAAGGACGCTAAACTGCCCACACCGGTTGAACGTCATTGGTTGGCCTAGTGTGAAGATTCGTATAAGTCGTATTCGGATTGGTAGATAAGTCGTGTGATAGAAAAACCAGACATCCAAGGTCATAACATTAAGCTACACTTGAATTTCAGTGATCGTTTTGTCCATTTAGTATTCGATTGGACTCTCTGGTTTGACATACCCTTCAGCTATCTTCTTCGTTATATCATATAGTTGTCTCAAGCTTCCTCCTCGTGCAGCTTTTACTGCTATTATTGCGGCTTGGTACCTACTTCTTTGATCTTTTTCCAGTTTTTCTCCATAAGAGTTCCCCTTTCTTCGAGCAGATCCTGTAAGGCTTGGAACCTGTTGTTGAGAGCTCCCTAGATTCGTTGAAGCTACGTCAGCTCCTTTCCTGGTTTTCACTACTTACATTGTTCTTCTGGACTTTTTACTGTTGCAAATATGATCGATCTGATTCGTTATAGTGTGGTCCGGTGAGACCCTTGTAGCTCTGTGTATGCGTTTGTTGAGGAATATCGTGCCACATATAATCATTTTGTTGAAGGCACATAGATTTGCAAGTCTGTCTCTATTCTCGTTCCTTTGTTCCAGACCATGTCGTCCTATGATATCTTCATACTCGGTGTTGTTCATTCCTACTTTCGCGTTCAAGTTTCCCATCAGAATGGTCAGGTTCTTCCCTATGCACTTCGCCATGATCGAGTGTAGCCTCTCGCAAAACTGGTCTTTACCATCTTCACTGCTATCATCGGTGGGTGCATAACACTGAACAACATTCATTATGATTCACCCCTTCCTTGTTTTGGACGATGGTTTGATGATCCTAGATCCATGAGATTTCCATCCTACAAGTACCTTTCGTGCTTCTTTGGATAGCATGAGTTTGACTCCATGTATGTGCGAAGTATTTTCATTTTCATGACTAGAGTGAAGTAGCATGAAGTAGCACGTCTCAATAAAGTAAATGTATATCAATAAATTCTACATATATATCCATATATTAATGAAATGTATAAAACAACTGTAAGGTATTATAGTGAAATTACTGATTTGAGTCAGTTGCAACTTTAATATAGTAGTCAATCAGTTACACACTAAAGCTCGACACGTATCCAACCTGTCACAACTCACGCCAATGTTTACAACCCTTTTACTATCTCTATACTATACGTAAGCAATTCTGCACACATACTTATCACCAAATACCTACGACTTCTTTATATCCTCTACTTTTCAAAGGTATATTCCATAACCGTAAATATACACAAAGCAAACTGATTCTTAGTATATCCTCTTCAATAGATAGAATAATCTCATCTAGATCAGAAGTCATGCAAATCGACAGAAGCTAAGTGAGCTTGTTGTCGAGCCGAGGTTTCGCTAGATATTAACTTACTAGGAACTCACCAGGTAAATGATATAGTCAATACTCCCAACTACTACACTCACTATGGTTAATCCGGATATAAACACAGATCAGATTTTAATCAATTCGTAAGATTCATAAATTTCTCCATAATTAAATAAATGAAGTCTTAACTTTAGAAATATATCCATCAACAAACTAATATTTTTTTCCGTTTTCTCCATCATACTGTATTCCTTGTGTATGCGTTTAATCGATTGCTCAATACAAAAAATTATCATTCCAGATAAGAAAATATTTATTGCTTAATGAAAAATACTATCTTAAAACGTGTAATGTGACATTAGCTTGGAAGTTCGATTAAAAGTTGTAAACAAACAAATGTTTAAATGATGTTTGTCAGACTTACGGCAGATATTTTTCCAAGTTTTAGAACTTCTCGAGTTAGTGAAATTTCTATATGAGTTTTCTTCAGTTGCCCCATATTTATACCACACAGTAAAGTCTTATGATCAGCTTCTAATATATCTGTAAGTTGTTCTATTGAGGCAGGAAATGATTTCAGCAGTCTAAAAAAGGTTGAAATTATTACGGGTAATACTGAATCCAGTAACTGATTAATATTTTAACTCTAAATGAGAGTTAATCATTATTTTCTTCAATCATTAATTTCCAAAAGCATTCAATGAATTTAAAACTTGAATTCTGATTCTCTGTTTAATAAAACATAGTCTAGAAAGAACAGATATTAAGTAATAAAAACGATTTGTGTTACTGGGTTCAACTCCAAACATAAGAAATCTATTTCAAGACTTACTTACTTACTTACTTACGCCTGTTACTCCTCGTGAAGGAGCATAGGCCACTCACCAGCATTCTCCATCCAACCCTGTCCTGGGCAATCCTTTCTAGCTCCGTCCAGTTGTAATTCATCCTTTTCATATCTGCTTCTATAATCCGACGCAATGTGTTCTTTGGCCTTCCTCTTTTTCGCCTCCCTTCAGGGTTCCAAGTTAGGGCTTGCCTCGTGATGCAGTTTGACGGTTTGCGTAATGTATGTCCTATCCATTTCCATCGTCTTTTCCTAATTTCTTCTTCAGCTGGAAGTTGCTTTGTTCTCTCCCACAGAAGGCTATTGCTGATGGTATCCGGCCAGTGGATGTTGAGTATCTTGCGTAGGCAGCTATTTATAAATACTTGTACTTTCTTGATGGTGGTTGTTGTAGTTCTCCAAGTTTCAGCTCCATACAGTAGAACTGCCTTGACGTTCGTATTGAAGATTCTCACTTTGATATTGGTTGAAAGTTGTTTTGAGTTCCATATGTTCTTCAATTGTAGGAATGCGACCCTTGCTTTGCCGATCCTCGCCTTTACGTCTGCATCTGAACCTCCTTGTTCATCGATGATGCTTCCTAGGTATGTGAAGGACTCTACATCTTCCAGAGTTTCGCCATCAAGAGTGATTTGATTGCTGTTCTGCGTGTTGAATTTGAGGACCTTGGTTTTCCCTTTGTGTATGCTGAGGCCTACTGATGCAGAGACTGCTGCTACACTGGCTGTCTTCATCTGCATCTGTTCGTGTGTACGTGATAGGAGGGCTAGGTCGTCTGCGAAGTCCAAATCGTCTAATTGATTCTGAGTTGTCCATTGTATTCCGTGTTTTCCTTCAGATATTGAGGTCTTCATAATCCAGTCGACCACCAGAAGAAAGAGGAAGGGAGAGAGTAAACAGCCTTGTCTGACTCCAGTCCTTACTTGGAATGCATCTGTCAGCTGTCCTCCATGCACTACTTTGCACTGTAGTCCGTCGTATGAGTTCCGGATAATGTTGACAATCTTCTCAGGAACTCCGTAGTGTCGAAGAAGTTTCCATAATGTCCTCCTATCTACACTGTCGAATGCCTTTTCATAATCAATGAAGTTGATGTATAGTGATGAGTTCCACTCAACTGATTGTTCGACGATGATCCGTAGTGTTGCAATTTGGTCTGTGCACGACCGATCCTTACGGAATCCAGCTTGTTGATCTCGAAGTTGGGCGTCTACTGCATCCTTCATCCGGTTCAGCAACACTCTGTTGAAGACTTTCCCTGGTATTGACAGTAGTGTAATGCCTCTGTAGTTTTCACATTTGCTCAGATCTCCTTTCTTTGGAATCTTGACGAGGTGTCCTTCTTTCCAGTCCATCGGCACTTGTTCCTCCTCCCAAATCTTTTTGAATAGAAGGTACAGCATGCTTGTGGTTGCTTCGATGTCTGATTTCAGTGCTTCAGCTGGTATGTTGTCGGGTCCTGCTGCTTTCCCGTTCTTGATTTGTCTGACGGCCATTCTAATTTCTTCCGTCGTTGGTGGGTTGACATCTATAGGAAGATCTATGTGTGCTGCTTCGATGTCCGGTGGATTCATTGGAGCCGGCCTATTCAGGAGTTCCTCGAAGTATTCCACCCATCTGTTACGCTGATGTTGAATTTCGGTGATTGGCTTGCCTTCTTTGTCTTTGACCGGCCTCTCTGGTTTACTGTATTTCCCTGCTAGTTTCTTCGTTGTATCGTAAAGCTGTTTCATATTTCCTTCTCTAGCAGCTTTTTCTGCCGTCGTTGCTAGTTCTTCCACGTATTTCTTCTTGTCGGCTCTAATGCACCTCTTCACTTGTTTGTTTGCTTCTATGTATTCAGCTTGTGCTTGAACTTTCTCTGCTCGTGTTCGGCTGTTGTTAATTGCTGCCTTCTTGTTCTTCCTTTCTTTGATCTTGTCCAGTGTTTCTATAGAGATCCATTCCTTATGATGGTGTTTCTTTAGGCCCAGAACCTCTTGACACGTTGAAGTTAATGCTTCCTTGATGCCTTTCCAGTTGTCCTCCATACTAGTTTCTTCTTCCTTCAGTAGATCTTGTAAGGCTTGGAACCTGTTGTTGAGAGCTATCTTGAATTCATTGAGTTTGTCAGTATCTCGAAGGAAGGCTGTATTGAACCTTTGTAGTGCTGTTTGTCCACTTGTCCAGTTCTTTTTTAGCTTCAGTTTTAAATTGGCTACAACTAGGTGGTGATCTGAAGCTACGTCAGCACCTCTCCTGGTTCTTACATCTTCCATTGTCCTTCGGAATTTTTTGTTGATGCAAATATGATCTATTTGGTTCTCTGTAGTGTGGTCCGGTGAGATCCATGTAGCCTTGTGTATACGCTTGTGTGGAAATATTGTGCCTCCTATGACCAATTTGTTGAATGCACATAGATTTGCAAATCTTTCTCCATTTTCGTTTCTCTGTCCCAGTCCATGTCGTCCCATGATATCTTCATATCCGGTGTTGTCTATTCCGACTTTGGCATTTAGATCTCCCATCAGAATAGTTAGGTCCTTTCTTGGCATTTCTCAATGATTGACTGTAGCCGCTCGTAGAACTGATCTTTAATGTCGTCGTTGCTATCATTGGTGGGTGCATAACATTGGATAATATTCATTAAGATCCCCTCCTTCTTTGTTTTGAATGATGCTTTGATGATTCTGGATCCGTGAGACTCCCATCCTACAAGTGCATTTCGTGCTACTTTGGACAGCATAAGAGCGACTCCCTGAGTGTGTGGAGCATTGTCCTCCTCGTGACCGGAGTATAGCAGCATCTCTCCCGTAGCTAGCCTTTTCTGTCCAGCTTGGGTCCAGTGGGTTTCGCTGATTCCCAGTACTGCTAAGTTGTATCTCCTCATTTCCATTGCTATTTGACTGGTCTTCCCGGTTTCCCACATTGTTCGAACGTTCCATGTACCTATAAAAATTTTTGCTCTGGTTGTTAGAAGGGGCATCGGCCTCGTGGCTTCCGAAGGAACTCGGCTTTCACCATGAAGCGTCATAATTCTTCTAACTGAAGACCTTCTAACTCCCAGGGCAGAGTTTAAATGGTTTGAATAATTTTTTCTGGTAAGCGTTTTTTTAGCGAGTTAGTTTTCTACGGGATGGGGACGCTAACCCCATGCCCAACCCTCCTCCTTTACCCGGGCTTGGGACCGGCAGTAACCCTATTAGAGCTACAGGCGGAGTTCAAGAGGCTTGATAATAAAAATAATATTAAGTACGCATTGCCTTACATAGGAATTTATTAGCAAAATACTCAGTCATGAGCCTTTGCTATGTTTGGGACAAGAATTAAGCGAAATACTTCAAAATTAATGGGGAATAACATATCTAGTTTAGTGAAATGTAAAATGGTTAGTTAATTGTAGTAGATATTTACTAAAATAGCTGATGACGTGATTTAATGTACGTCTTTAAAATTAAATTAAATTAAGGTCAAACGTCCTACGAAGACCAATTAAAAAAGTAATGGAAGTGGAAGGAATTAAAAAACTGAAAAAACTATTTCTAGCAATTAGTCCTTTCGATAATGAAATATGAAGACGAAGATAACTATTTCTGACAACAATACCAATTTTCCATGGAGACTTGAGGTTGAGAATAATAGGGTTTATCTCTGTTGTTGTTTAGTATATTGGTATCATTAAATCTTTTAGTCCAGTCACCTAGTTACATTTATTTCTATGAAACATTTTAGTAAATGTTTCTTTAAATGACATTTTTATAGTTTTAGTCTCATGCTGCCCACCATTGTATTCAATGCTGTCGGTGAGATCGTCTATATATGTATATGTAAAAGTTAAGTCTCGGAAAACTGCTGAAATGGATGTGTAGTTCTAAAGAATATATTATGATATTCTTCTAAACACGAAAGGTGCATATGATTTTCAAAACAACTTAATAACTCTATGATTTTGCGGTTTTTCAAAATACTTAATATGCTAAATGAATTCACTAAAAAAGTAAAGAATAACAATATTCATGAACATGAATTGTGAATCAAAGCTAAGACGTTTGAAATCAGGCTCAATCTGGAACTTAAAGAATGTAAACACATACATTTCCATACATTAGGGACACAAGTTGTCTCGTTCGAATCAACTCAGGAACAAAGTTAGAAGATTTCAGAAATCAGTTGCAAATTCCTATGATGGTTTAACGATTTAAAACAGTTTAACTTAATAATCAGTCCATTTTTTGATGCTGAGGCAGAGACCTCTAGATGGAACTAATAGAATCAAAAGGTGACAACAACCAAAGCGAACACTTAAAACATGTAGTGTCTAATGAAATTTTTTTACAATCTAAATAATTTTTCCAGTCAAATGTTTGCTTTTTAAGGTGAAAGTGAGATTAAGAAAAACTTTATTCATAAATGGTGTACATTAATTTCGAATTCAGATGGCAGTTTACATACTCATGTCTCGAGTCAGTTATACGTATTACTGTAATCAAGATGAATTCTATTTAAAAAGCACAGATAATAAATTATGATTACTAAAGTGCTTAGAACTGAATAAATTATATTTTGAATGCTAATTATAAGGAAACTAAATGATGGGTTTATCAGTAAATGATTACTTTCAGTATCTTCAATACAAACATTTTGAGTCCTGACTGACTTAGTTTTCAACAATGTCATCTGACTAAAATTTTTACATCCCGTGATTTATGTAACTTTTGTAAACAGTTCAAAAACTCGGTCGAAAATGGTTCTCACTTACATTTTTGCATAGATTATTTACCCATTCACATATTAAAACGGTTATTATCGTTTGTTTTGGACTATGTGAAATAACATTATATTAGTTGATAAATGTAATACATTTGTATTTGACACCGTCAGATGAGGGTTAGGTAAGTAAAAGATGTATAGCATAGCTAATACTATAAGACATTTTTATAACGCTTTATCTCTGGGTTGGTTTATGACCATAAAGTACTTAGGAATGAATTGAATGTGAAAAAATTGATTAACTACTTTCAACACAAAATGTTCAACATTTACGTTCTAAACTCACTTGTTATTTACTAAAATTTCGTTTTCTTGATTAGCAATAAGGTAGTTGGTTTTAGTCAACTGGCTTCTTTCGGTAGTCACTGGAACCAAAGACCAATCATCGACACCTTCCTTTTCATGTTTTACTGTTCCGTTACGAGTATCTCTTTCTTTTTTTCCAAACCTTCCTATGTTATCAGTGATAAGACAGTAAAATGTTAATTAAAAGTGGCTCACAAGCAATGTAAAAGGTTTTGAGATGTGTTTGCAACTCAATTTTATAAAACCCACTCAACCTACAAATGAAAATCAAGAAATAGACTGTCAGAGAATTATAATGTACCCCGTATTATGTCCAGTCGACGTTTTAGTGCACCTAAAAGCTGTTAGTTAGTTCAACAATATTTTATTCATACATTAACCATTGGGAAGATAAATGCAGCCGATCGCCTGGAAATATGGACTGATCTTTACGAAAAATGGAAATATTTCAAGTCGGAAAGACATAATTAGAAAAAGGATAATTGAAAATGTCGGAATGACAGATATCTTGTGAGACGGAAATCAAACAACTCAACAGTATTTTGAAATATTGCCTCCCAATGTTAATATGGAAATGGATTTTAGAAATTTTTCTTTCGGCTTGAAAGTCACGTGTACTACTGGAAAGATTAGTCCTTTTAATGAAAAGAACAAATAGAAAAATACTAAGTAGATGTTTTCATAGTTTTTTTTATCACTGTACAGCAAATATTGATTTGCCGCCAAAAAAATCATTTCAGTAACCGATTTAAAACTACCAGTCATAATGAAAATATTCTAAAAGTCTATTATGACAATCCCTTTATTAAACTGGGTTTTAAACAAACATCTTGTTGCATTAGCTGAACAGAAACGTTTTATTTTAGCTTGAGTTATCAAGTACGAAGTTACCATTCACAGGAGATTAAATCGTATGTGTGATTTAAACTATGGGTTTCCATCGAATTCATTCAGTAGTTTACAACCATACATTCTCATAACATTTTCTTAACTACTCAGTTTTAATGATTAAGTACTTGAAAAATCGCAGTTAGATCGTGATGGTGTTGCCCAAAATATCATATTTCTTGTTCAAAATGAATGAACTTTATGCATAATATACATCAGTCCTCGATACAAGGTAAGTACTACATTGGAATAAGAAGAACAATCTGTAAATGTTATCTTTCAGCTCTAGTATAAATCCTAACTTTAGTTTATTGGAAAGATTATATATAGAGAGAACAAATGACCGGATAGTTTCTTATCACACTTTCAGTAATAAACTTTTTTATCTTTGCATCGTAGTTTGTTGAAACTTGGGTATTTTATTATACATCACCTTTAAAAAACGTTTTATTACGACATGCATATCGATTTCCTTATTCAATTGAAAAATTTATTTTCTTAAAAGGTGCCTCATACACTTCTCATTTACCAAGCTTCCGTCCACTGATATTCCTTCGTACATTTTCATAAGTTTCATTAAATTACAAACTTCTGATTTTAGAATAAAATATGATGTTCAGGTAACAACTCATTTTTCTCAAACATAAAACAGTAAAGTTAGGCACTTCGTTTCATTTATTCTTCATCTCTCTACTGATGTGAACAAGTTTTAGATTTATTAAATGTTTTAATAAATACAGAAAGATAGCATATTTGGTAAGACTGTTTTTATATGACGCATATCTATTTACCTATCTTACAAAGTATATCCAATTACTTTGACATAACTTTTGATTTGCAAAACTACCTAAGTCTCATACGACCTATCGTGCACAAAAATATCTAAATACCTTTGTCAATAGAACTAATCTAATCAATGAACTATTTCTTGTCTTTTTATGATAAAATGACTTCTTAGTCTTCTGTTTACTAATCATTTTACTGGAAATATACTTGTAAATATGTTTTGGTACTACTGTGCTGATTGTTTTAGTCCACTAGTCGTTTAATTATTTATCGATATACCAAGAACAGAAACAATTTATGTACATTATTAAGGTCCGATGGGTAATGTCTATATATGCCAGTTTCACACTCCCTTATTTTAATTTTATTTCTTGACTTACCTGAAAAAAATACAGCATGTGTTGAAGATGATCTCGTTTCCAAAGTAGATCGATTGATGAGTGTCTACAATATAAAGTGAATACTTAGGAGAGGGACTCTATAAGATGAAGAATGACGAAAAACATCTAAGGTAAGTTCATCAAAAAGCGTAATTTTGTTTCATGAAATGAATGTCACCATTTTTATTTTGGTTTATCGCAGTTTTATAGCAAAGTGAATGGATAGCGAAGTAACCTACCATTGGAGATCGCGCTCCGAAATTTGATGGCACATTGGTCCAAAGTGTTGGTGCTTTTTGAAAATGCATTCCTGTTCTAAGTAGTTCAGAATAATAAAAAATAAATTTAAAGGATAAAACCATACGATTTATCGTTTATTTTTCTGGTTACTTATGTAGTTAGTTTATTGCACATGATTATGGAGAGAGCGCTGGTCTGTGGACACTATTTTAAGTGATTGATGGAGTAAATTCGCAGAACCATAACAAACTACACTAAATAAAACAGACAACTTGATAAATGATTGAGTGCAGTAACTCAAGAGTCTGTTACCGTTAATAAAGTTTTCATAAGATTAGACGAACAACATATTTAATGTCACTGTTTCGAAATTTTTAGCGGCAATTATAACTGTCCTTTTAAAAAAATAGTTTGTAGGGAATGAGTCCCTATTAATTTTTATTATAATTTGCTTATTTCAGTAAACCGTATAGTTCTGGGACTTAAGAAACATTATTTAAATTACTCAGTATAATTCCAGTTTTTGAGTGTTAAGTTTTGACTGTGAACGTAAGAAAGTCTAAATAAATTGTCTTTATGATTTAAACGCTTTCACAAAGATTGACCTGAACAGTAGGACTATTAGTGATCTATTTTCCTACTTTCTGAGGACTAAAACACATTTCAAGTACAGTTCTTATCCACTCATCATTATGTTTATTGGAAACCGGATACAAACTGACTTCAGTGAAACCAAAGTCTTTCAGAAAGTTCTTTCGCCTTCTAAAGAAGGATTTACATCCGAACACATGGATATAAGGGCGAATCAAAATAATCTTCGTAGGCAGAATGAAGTACAGTTAACAAAATGAAAACAAGTTATTTGCTACTATATATTCCTTTTATACCTCAAGTATTATGACCAATAATACCGAAAACGACAACTGACATCCAATTGTTTAGTTAACTGTTTAGTTTGTCTTTGACTACTTTTTATATTAAGATAAAAGTACAAACATACGCTTCATATGAACTCAGTTCATATATATGTATGAAATTCCTAACTTGACCCCTGCCATGGACTTGCATGAAATTAGATACACAGCCTCATGTGCTATACTTTGGACTCACTTCGGATTGAATAATTCGCATTGACACTACAAACCGAATTCAACATGTGAACATACTTGGACAAAAGTTCAAAACTGAGTTATCGTTGTGACTTTGCTTACCTTCGGTTATTTTGTAATTTAACTCGATTAAACTTACAACACTGAAATTTCCGTGCATTGTTTAATGATTAAGTGGAAATATGTCTCTGATTCACATTTGAAATCATTTATGTCTTCTGCAGACCAGTAACGTTTTCCTTCGTGTATTTTTTCATAATCCAGTAAGCAGTAATCGTAGTGTCGTAACAAATTTCTTTTGCATCTCAATTCTAGTTTGAAGGTATGAAGACGAATCGACTTGTATCAAGAAATGAATCAAAATGTGTAGTTTAAGGATATTGCAACTGTTAAAGTAAATTAGATAGCTGAAATTTTGTTTTAATGTTGGAAAAAAATGAACTTTAATTTTGAATTCGATTTATATGTAAATTATGCACATAATTTAAAAACTGGGAGGTTATTTAATGATCCATCAGTGTCTTCATCCATTAAACATACTTTTACTATTAATTCCATTACACTGTATCTTAAATGCTTATATCGAATTCATTGATTATATCTGGTATTAAAGGTGTTGAAAATACTGTGTTCGAATTCAATATGACTGTTCTTCAGAAAACTCTCTCCAAAGTAATATACCAATAGTTTTAGAAGACATTATTTATTTTAACAACAAAGTAACTCAAAATCAAAATATTCTATACTTGGAAGTGACACATGTGCTAAATCATGATAAGATACACTGTTATACAATTAATTCGGTCATTTTAATTTTCAGATGATAACTAATATAAAGTTGATTACTTTCGTAATGCACAGTTTGACAGCTTGACGCTTTTTAAAGTGATAAATGCCACTAAAATCAGTAGTATTGGTTATTTTCTAAACAAATTCCTAATGAATATAAATATTATTTGATAATACATTCAAAAATACTTGATAATTAGCGACAATAAAAACAACTATAAAGTTTACATTGTGTTAAATTATTGTGAATCATATACAGTGTTGCTTGATAGTATGCTCGTTAAACAACTCTATCTCAGTAGTAAACAACATCAGACTCAATAGATGATGCAAAACTTTCTAATAGCGTTCAAAGGATGTGTACGTTAGCTTCCACATATCGATACCGATCGATGAATCATCTTTGCTATAGTAAGCGTTTATTACCTAACTTAAACGTTTGTGTTTGAAATGAGTTTCATAAATGACTGATATTAGCTAGAGAACCACTAAAAGCGAGAAGAGGATTACATAGTTATTTCATTCCTGTTTCAGGTACTACGACGTTAATCATCAATGAAAACATTTGGGATAGAACCGATTGAAACATTCGAAAGTGAATGGACAAATCAATAGCGAAAATGTGTTTATAAATACATACAGTTATAAATAAGGGACGTATAAAATTTTAAAATATCTGTACCAGATCTCTTAGGGATTCTTCTGCTGTTTTATTTTCAAAAGTAAATGAGTTTCGAATACCATATCTAAATAAAATAGAGTGATCAGCTTCCATTTCAAAAAGTTCGTCAGCTAAGCTTTTCTGATTGATTTTTGCAGTTGGTGGCTGAACTTGAATCAATGACTCCTCGTTGTGTGACTGGATTACTGAAATTTTCGACTGGCTGTGATCAATGTCTGGAACATTCCTCGGCAAGTTAGACCTGTTTTCAATTTGAAACGAATATAACAAATTCGTTAGCTAAAAAGTCATTTTACTATCCACAACTAAATTTCGATGAACAGACAAAAATAAAATTAGTACATCTAGGGAAAACTATGAATTAATAATCACTTGAAGATAGTTTATTTCCTGTCTTGTCTTTTGTTTCAGATGCAATGCATTTTTAACTTGAACATTAAGACTTTTACAGTTTTAGTCAAACAAAAGTATGACCAGGCTTTGACCGGAATGAAATTAGTTGGATTTGATAACGTCTGTTATTATGTTTGTGGGTTAAGTAAAATGCATTTATGTAGAATATATATAGTGCGATTAACAATAAAATGCAGGAGGCACCCTTTTTGAGGCCTATCAAATGGATGCACCTGCATTCCAAAGTTCATGTTAAATCCCGTATTCGGATACACTACCTTTTGTTTCAAACGCCTTACGCGTTATTAACCTTGGTACTGAGTCAGGATAATCACTCACTTGTGCAGAGAGTATGAGCTTTTATTTAATTTGTGATGGCATGGATTATTAACTCGTTGAGAGTCAATAAAAATACCAACAATGCTGTTGTAACGCGTTGTGCAGATTTGACGGTAGCAGCGTATTATCGATCGGACCAATGTCATGTAAAACGCGTAATGAACGGCCTAGAGTCCCGATTGGTCCCGCTTCCCTGTCTAGCCCATCCAGTTAGTCCAGAACGCAAGTCAGCCTCTGAGATATGAATCATTATATTTCAGACATACTCTATTTACATACCAATTAACCAGACCACATTGTACCATAAAATAGAAAACATTTGTACAGTATTTAACAAGTGAAATAAATATCGACCAATAGGGAGTGTACATTTAAAGTCCAAGGCCACCATTAGACTTAACATGATAATTATTGGTATATTTTTCTGCACATCCTAACAAATGCTAACTTTAAGATTAAACGATAAATATTTAGTCGCAAGTCCACCGACAACTGTTTCAGAATGAGAGTATGATTAAATATTTATCACCGGTTTTCATTTATTGCACTATTTTGCAACTAGTCGACTTAGTAATCTTTTTTTTACCTAATAATATATTTTATAATTAAGTAATTTAAATTTATTCAGTATGTATTTAACATTTTAAAACCAATTTTAGATTCCTTTGGTCAATCATCTAGCGTAAACTAAGTGGAAAAATATATTTATATATGAATATTATTGTGCTGTTTAATATTTTATTAAAAATTAGTGTATGAACTAAACAGTACGTGCTCAGACCTTTGAGTTCGGAAATACAAAAGTCAACCAACATCTTTGCGAAATATTTTACCATATTTGATAAAACCACAGTAGAACCAAATTAGAAAGTTAGTACATAGCTGAGTGATAGTTAACTCAATCAGTTAATGGTATCGATCGTGAACTTTCGATACGGTTGACTTCATATAGCAGCTTACGTAGAATTTCGTTTTTCCAGTTTTTATGAAACGATATGTCTTCTAACTTAGTTTCTACTTACCTACGTCTAGAAATACCATTCCTTGTTGGTTAATGAACAATGAATCCAAGACATTTCTGTCGATAACATCATATATCACTAATAATAAATAATTTGGTGCATTTATAACCTTAGCGAACAGTAATAAATTTTATCGTGACTTGGACATGAAAATGATGAAACGCTTCGTTTTTACTTAGATAATTGAGGCAAATTAGTCTTCTTATATATACATACGGAAACTCATTTGTCAACAATACAACATACCCCTCATATGATGAAATAGATTGTATATTTTCTTCAACTTCATTGAATTTAGAACTGTATATTTGCATTAGATTGATCTGGATTCATTAAAACGTTTGCAAAATTTAACCTACATTTTCTTCAATATCATTTATTTTTGCACGAAGTTCAGAAAGTTCAGATTTTGCCTGTAGTATGCTGGTCTTTAAAGAAACCCCGACTTACCACAAATAATTCGTGTGACTTTTTATTTACCTGTTCTTGATTTCTATTTAACACGTTCTATAAGAGATTAAGTTCTAATATTGTTGAAGGCGACAAACCTCATAATCATGAATTATATGAAATAGCTCTTTGATATGTTCATCTCTTTCTGCTAGTTGCTTCTCCAGCTTAAATAGCTGCAAGTGTAAACATACAAACCACTATTTAGTGTAGCTAGATCAAAAAATCTGCTTTACGGAGCAGAAGAAAAACTACTTATTGTCTATTTCAGACGTTGGCTTGTCACTATTTGTGGCGTCAAATCGTATATATGACTTAAAGTCTTAAGTCCTGCATATGACAGATAATTGTAACGTTATTAGCCTAAATTTAATAACGGATAGAGGTAACACATATTAAAATAGAACATTATTTTGTAAATATAAAACAACAAACAAAAATATTCATCATTATGCGGAAAAATCAGTACGGCATTGTGTACTTCACAGCAACTATTATTCTGTTTAAGAGAGTCTTTCATCCTAGTGACTGTAACATGGTTTATAAGATTATAAAAATTCAGATTTTAAAACATCAAGCGGTTCTAACTGGAGTATACAAAAAGAATGGGCGAGCAGTTGTTCATAAACATCGTTTAATTCTGGTAAAACGAACCCTTTTAAAAGTTATCCCATACTTGAAACGTTTCAATAATCATAAACGCTGTGGAAACCTGGCGTAAATGTCCAAGTTTCGCTATTGTATCAGCACAGCAAGATGAACTTATCGTAACGAATACAATTATGGTAAAAGTAATAACAATTTCGAAACTCAAGATTTAGAGTTAGACAAGTAAATGCGTCTACACCATCAAAATCAGTTCTGAGGCATGTCTAGAATCTGCAACTATAGGCCGAAAGTACACAAACCGAACATTGTGCTACGTTCAATTGTGTCACTCTCCACAACCCCATAACACAAGTTATTAACAGGAATTTCAAGAACACTGAAACATTTGGTGGATTTATTTGACCACTTCACTAATTCAACCTCAAAATTATTGAATAAGATTACGGATATTTAAACCAACAACGGCGAACTAATGATGTCTTTAGACGTTAGACCCTTACTCACCTCAAGCGAAATAAACTTAGCAAAGAAAACTTTATCCTCACATCTAACCAATGATGCGAATCCCCCAAAGTGTACGAAGCTACAAAGTCAAAATCTAACAGAACTTATGGATTTAACAACATATTTTATATTCAACAACAAGATTTGTGAACTGCATCGGATAGAGTGAATGCCCCATTATCTTCAGCTTCAGGAACAATAGCTAGTTGTCATACGCCATGATATATCTTCGCCCACATCAATCCATGTGGACGATTGTAAGCACATATTCGACTAGAAAAATGTTAAGATCTTGGATGGAAGAATACTAAGAACGCCAGAGGACTTTTAGAAACTTGGGACGCAAGTAAGTCAGCAATAAACATGCACATCAAAACCGATCCAATTTTTCAGCCAATTGAAAAAATCCTGGACGAATACAGAATCAAGAGTCAAATCTAAGAGAGAGAAAATCAAAATCAAATTGACGACAATGACAGGCTAAAGGTCAACAACAACCAATCAAGATCGAGGCCGACAGAACAAGTTGTTTGTCATTTGTGAAGAAACTGAAATATTCCACTTCTGCTTGAAGTATGTGCTGTTCATGTCGTTCAGAAGAATGATGAAAACTTAAAGAATATGACTCCACCAAAAACTCCAGATTGCTTCCGACCTATTTCTACGCAAGCAAATATTGGGGATGGAAGAGTAGTAAGGCATACCTAATATATGCTTAATCTACATCAGTAGATTATTACTCAAAATACTATCAACTGACTTCCTATCTTTCTCTAGTACCCCGCATTTAGCCACAACAGTACTATTTATTATTTATTTTATTTAGACACATGAACGTTGGTGCAAGAAGGCACTAAAATGATATACACTGCGCAAATCACCCGATTTGTGTGAGGTCTGGGATACTGTTCGGGTTCCCAAGCCAAAGCAGGTGATGTCCTAAGGGGGCCACACGTGGAGCCTTTGATTTGAACATCTAATCCACAATGCAGTGGAGCAGCGTCGGGAGACGCGGTCCCATGGTAGACAGTGACCAACGATTGGTTCATACGCCATTCGTTCCCTCAGGATCCTGGAGCCTATGTGCACCATTGGTTCGGAATCAGGATTTTTCATCTCCTCTAGATGGACCTTCCGTGTCTACCGACCCGGTTAAAGAGCCGGACGTTCGCTTTTCGTCCTCTCGATTTCGTAAACAACAGTAATGCCGCGAGAAGGCAGTGAGTAGGACTTCACTGTCAGTTGTTTTATGCACTTGACCATGTGAGAGCATTTCGAGAGAGAGAGCGGATTCTCCCCACTCTAGGCCGTACCAGGGCATTTGGGGACCACAACAGTAAAGACATCAGTATCTTTATCCCATTGTGTATTCTAGTACTACTTTGGATTTAAGTAGAATCTGCCCCGAAGTTTTTCGTGGTTAGATTTAATTGCGTGTCAAAAAAGTCTCAAGTAAACGTAAAATGGTAACTTCACTAAATATAAAGAAGCCGTTTTCATATTTTATTAAACGTTGTAGAGGATTCAATGTTCATCGTTTCCTATAGATGAATTTGTTCCAGTGACGTTTCGGCCTTGGATTATAGTGTTGTACCACAGAGTCAGGACCTCCTCAAAAACTGCTACCAAAATAACAGTCTCTCAGACTCACATGATGAGGTACAACTTGAAGAATACTTGTCAAATAATGTCAAGTAAATGATTAGATGACATCCATGTATTAAATATGTCTCATACAACCTCCAACTTACTACATGCATGAAAGAAAATTGTACACTCTTCGATAGTTTACAAGTATCTATCGGTGACCATATGTCCAGCCTTTTATTCATTTCAAATTTGACTTATGCTTTGTAACACCTGCTAACTAGATTTCGAGAGACAAATTTAAATTACTCTTGAGAAACTACCAAGAGTAAGTTGACATATGATAAATAAAAAGAGGGAATTTTTGAAGCAATCGCTTTGTTTTTCCGGTTGATTGACGCGTGATTAACACCAGAATATCATGTCCCCTATGTATTATTTTTCATCAACTGAAGCCTTTTAAATATTTACACCCCGGCTTTTTTCATGATTTTGAAAGTTTATTTTGGTGAAAATTAAAATAACCAAATTAGAATGCCATGTTTTAACTAGTCCAGTGGTCAAACATTATAACACGATAAAAGTAAGCAAAAATAACCTTGTTACTTAGCATAGCTTCTTTATCTTCGAATACCACTGCTTTAGATTCTAACTCTACATTGCGACACTTTTGTTCCTCTAGTGACCTTTCCAAGATATGTTTATATGTCATTTCCTTGTCCAGACGATCCAACAGCTCATCTCTTTCCGCCGCAATTTCTGAAAGGCTGAAAAAAACCATGAATTCTATCAAAAATTAAGTACTAAACCGTTATATTTTAAACGCTAATAAAACTAAGAAAGATATACGCAGTGTGCTGTCGATTAACAGAAAAAAATCGTTAAGAGATGGTACAAAAATAATGGTTCTGGAATTTTAGTTGTAGGCCTAGATGGTGGCCGAAAATGTTAACAGAAAAATCCATAGTGTGAAAAACGAACTCACAAACAAAAGTCAGAAGCTTGGAGCGCTTGGATTTCAATAGATTTTGAAACAAAACGTTTTAGCGAATAAGTTTGACAAATTAAGAAACAGGAGAGTTATTTGAGAATCATAGAGCCGCAATAAAAGCATATTTAACCTTACATAATGATATAAGGTAAGTAAGGATGAAATTACGAGGTAGATTTATGGTAAGATTATTTAAAAACTCCATACAATCGTTTTTTTAATGGATTAAGTAATTTAATCGAGACAAGCTGGTTTGTGGTTGAAAATAGAATCTAGAGTTGTTTTTTCCTGCATAGAACTTTTCATCCGGACACTCCTGGATCCCAGTATTGATCTTCATTTGGAAACTTAAATTGAATATCTAAATTTGTAAGATGATGCTATTCATAAAATGCAGTAACTGCTACATTTTTTAACTTCCTTTGAATAAACTGTCTCGAATTCTCAACTAGGATTCAGCTCTTTGATATAGTGATTTAACATCTCAATAGAAAAATGAAAAGCTTTATTTCGTGTAACTAAGATTTAATTCAGAAACATACACATTTAAGTGATCCTAATGAGCTTGAGCTAACCAGTAACAACAAGATCAACAGATCAAAACGAATACATACTAAACAAAACTCTCTCTATCAGAGAATAGCCTAAAGTTATGCGGGATAGCATGGTTAGAAACAGTGGTCTAAATGACTCAAATAACAAAACCAAAACAGATGGTCTTAACAAAATTGGAAACAATAATCAAAGAAACAAAATGAAAGTCGTACAGTAAGTATTGTCAGTCATTAGTAGTGCAGAAAATGGCGTTAAAGTTGCTGCCAACCATAATACAACCAATAACCGGTTGCATTTTTGATCGTAATAATCAAAACGGAGACGTATTAATAAATGGAAGTTGATGGATGAATGAGCAGAAAGGCAATCAAGTATCGGCCGAAACGTTGAATGGTAACGAGTTTTTAACATGGGCTTAGGTGAATGGTAAATAAAGACGCTGAATCTTTCTGCCTATCCATCGCGCACGTATTAAGATTTCTACGGCCTTTCGCTGGAACTAAGAAGATAATACACTGCAACCAATAAGCGAACATTCTATGTATATTTATACATGCACTTAAACGCATACCTATTTCTGGATATATAGACAACTGTGAGGAGTACAACTATACCAGTGACAACAAATTACATGACGTTTTGACCGAAACTAACACTTCATCCTTCTATACAATTAAAAGAAAATAGATATCAATAAAGCCTCATGAACGCCAATATTATGTACCATTAATCACTAAACTTTGATTTTTACGTCTGCCAATATTCAAAATAAAATAGTACAAGTGCATCAGATGCCTGGAAACTCAAGGTATACAATCTAGAGGGTCTGTTGAACACTCTCACGACCTTAAATACATAACAAAACGAGAACTGCAAACTAATAATACAGGAATGATAAAAGGAAGACTATGCATAAATATCGAAAATAAAAAAGTGGATATGAGAATATACAATTTTTATATTTATAATTATGATCACATTATTCACTTATATAAGTGATTTATTTTGCTGATGTATATGCTAAAATGCTATACCTGTTGAGCTTCTGACTCAAAAGATCTTCCTTTGTTGAGTGTTCTGCGATGGCATCCTCCGCCGACTGTAAATGACAATACAACTTTGCGATTTCTTCTATTAATAATTCTTTTTCATGTTTCAAACGATCACATCTCTCCAAACTGGAACTAATATTTTGTGAGTAACTAAATATCGGTAGCTAACTACACCAGTGAGGAAGCTCATCGTAATTTGCGTTTGTGTACATGTTTTAAATAAATGATAGTGCGCAGAAACGCATACAGAAATTTCGAAACCCTGTATTTAGTCTAATAAAACACATCACGAAACGTTGCATGTCTGAGTCGGTAAGATTTTTCTTACATAAAATTATGGGAGAATTTTCTTCGTTGTGTATTATAATATTCACAGTTCTGGGCTTACAGATGACGGTTGTTCGTAAATGATAGACCACTTAAAAAATAGGTGGGAGCGCTTTAAATAACCCAACTTAAACAATCGTTACAGGAATACTGTGTTAATGAAAGTACTAAATTAGAATTGAGTGAAGATGCCACAGGTATTCAGAGTTTGGCAACGCTTTAACCAGTAACACGTAATATGAATCGTACCCACCAAGTGAAATCAAATGACAGAAGTGAGGAGGTTCAAAGATCTATTTGATAGGTTATCAATATATCGAGGATCGTCTGGTATAATCTGGTTAGCGATTGCAAGGCATGTTGAGCACGGCATTCCCACTCTTGATCTGATGCGAATGCATGATCGAGCGCCTTAAGGCTGCACCTCAGGGGTATCATTCACTGCTGGAGGTTGCGAGCACTTGAAGGTCAAACTGTCGCAAGACGATTGGTGCGTCACATCGACAATTCGTGAAGTTTTACAGAAGCAGCCAAATCAATATATTTTTAGATTTGAATTGAGTTCAGCCACACCATATCTGATAACGTCCATTCTTCATGTAACGAAGACGATGCCATGATATAGGACGAATATTCAACGACATTATGTTATCTCAAAGATTTACAAGTTGGGACAATTTTGAGGCCTGTCTGAAAGAAGTACACACGGTAATATGACTTCTGTGGTTAACAATTATTTTTGTCGTATACACACATTAAGTACGTTATGTCAATATGTAGAAAGAACAGTGATGACCCAACTCTAAAGTATTTTTTCGTGAGATATGTCTGTACATATGGACGTCAACGCAGTTCGTCAGAGTCAGATGCTTGCGTTCAGGATGTAGATGATGATAGTAATAATCATTCATCTGAAGAGCATACAACTTCTTACTCGCCAACACAACCTAGGCAAAGGAGACGACGTCGGTTATGTACGTATGCCTTAGTTCAAATGAATTTATCCTTCAGGTCGAAATATTGCCATTGTCAATCATTATTTTGGGTCCGGGCAGTAAATGATGAGTTGAAACTCACCCCTATTAAAACCGTGCACAACCATCCTTGCACAAAAGGATATATTTCTGTCGATCCATCGAAACGACAGTTGACCTCAAGTGAACGCTTGTATTTAAGAACGTTTCTACTGAGTAATACACCAACTCGTAGCTTAAGGTATCCGGTTTCTTGGAAGTTCAATAAACAGCTTACCAAGGACGATATCGCCAGAATGCGTTCACAGTTGTACCCAGGTTATTGAACTCACGTTGTAATTAATTGAGTTTAGACACTAAAAATATCAATGACATTTTACAGCGCGTTCAAGCAAATACTGAAGTTAAAGTATTCAATGAAAATGGGAACATGTCTATGATCTGCTTCAGCCGCAGAGAGCAAATAGCTGTTTACCACGCGTTCCCGGAGGTAATATGTATTGATTCGGCTTATCAGACCAATAAAGTCGGGTAAGTAACGATTAGTAATAAATTTATCTGAAGGTTTTCCACTGTTCCAGTTAGTGGTTACTGATAGTCTTGGGCAAGGGCACACTGTTATGTATGCTCTTTGCAGTCATAACGACGCGAAGATGTCGAAAAACTATTGGAATGTTTTAAAGAGATAATGTGCGGTACTTATGATACACACACTTTCATTATGGATTCGGCAACGACCGAAATTTTAGCTGTGCAGTCTACACACAGTCATTCTAGCATTCTAACATATCCTGAGAGGGTTTTTCAGGGAGGTATGTGTTAGCTGTACAAACTATTTTCTGTAGTTCCGAAATCTTGATGTGCGCAAATGCTTGGAACACCTTGTGAAGACTAGACGGTCTGATATGTGAGCTTCGCTTTTCATAACGCACTATGTTCAGATATGCTCAGAAGTACGAACATCTAAGAACCCATTTCCCATGGGCGTATGGTTATATAAAAGATTACTCAATTACACGGAAGTCAATGTGGGCTCGATGTTACCGGCGACATGTATTAAGCCTGGGCAACCACACAAACAACCATGTCGAAAGTGCTCATAAACACCTAAAAGAATGTCTCAGAAGAGGTGATTCTCTGCTATTGACGTTCTGGAAAATCTGGAGTAAAACAGACACTGACCTACGTTTGCGTCCATATGACGCTGTAAAGGATCTTCCACGTTTTCCAATTCTTCAGGTAAGAAACATAGTTAAATGTATCATTAATTCCGGGTTCCAATGTCATTTCGAACGCTTTTAAATGAGTTCACATCTTTTGCAGTTAAAATCGTACCTGTAAATTATGAACGTGTTCGGACAATAAAACACGAATTTATAGGAGAGTAATACATCCGGTGCTACGACAGGGGTATGATGTATGCTGTTGATACATCACGTACGCGATGTGTTTGTGAGCGTTCCAATGACTCCATGATGCCCTGTGGGCATATTCTGTTTGCACATTCTAAAGATCTGGTTCGTGGGGGTAAGTGTGTGTTGCTTTGTCTCTATGAGCTTTTTCGACTTATTTCGACAAGGAAATACATAATGGAATTGGTTCTTCGTGCGCTGGACAACATGTCAATCTCTACAGGGAGTGACGATCTGCTAGAGAAGTTCACTAACAACTACCACTCAATCCATGCTCTTAGTGAAACTTTGGCAAGTATAAACTCATCCATTCATGCCTCGAAGCATCGGAAGACATATGAGCACAAGTGATGAGTTAAATCGGTGCTAATAATCATGCTACATCGTTAGAATCGATTGTTAACACCGACTATAGCTATGCTTCTTGATGACAAGAAGTTCTAATATTGTAATCATTTTAGATTTACCTAGATTCATTTATACGGTCATTAACTTATTCTTATAGCGTAACGGCAGGGAGACTGTACTGTGCAGTCTTATGTGTCTGTGAGACAGGAATGTTGTTTCGCGTTCTTGTGTAATAATTACCATTTCGGCTCACACGCGATTAGTCATACAGACCGTTTACCATATACTGCAACCTTGAACATGGTGTACTATACTACTAGGTGGAATTTCGAACAGTCTCGATAGATAGGCACTGCCGTAATTAAAAGACTGGTGCGTTATAAATGAAAACGTTTATCAAAATTAAAATCCAGCGCGAATGATAAATTGATAAATAAATTCCGATTCTTAAGAATTGTTCCCGTTAGGTCTGTGAACACTTGCGAAGCCAGCTGGAAATAAGATAGACAGGAAATAATTATTGCCGTATAAATGTTTACCGGAAACTAGTATAAAAACAGAAACTGGTATTCAATTACAGATGGAAAGTGAATTTGGCAAACCCTTTCTTATCTGCTTCACCTCTTGCGTTGCTTGGGAAAGCCTGGGTCGCAACTTACCTAGCTTGTATTATTTAATTCTTTGAACAGGTTGCATTTCGGAATCCTAGACAATGAACATATATAAAGACTACTGAGTGAATTTACTTTGAATTGTCCTGTGTAATATGCAATTATTGATGCCGATTTTAATTTAGTCCCACGTAAGGTATGAGTAATGGTCGTTTACGGCATCAGCACGTAAGCTAGACATACGATCTCAGACAACCTGGTCAAGATATCTTATTGTCGAATCATGCCTTTCAATGCTTTATCGTAACCGCTTTATAATAGTACTTATTCCTGCTATTAGCTATCTTTACAAGAATACCGACAGCCTAGACATTGCAACTCTGTAGAAGAGGTAGTAAAGCTATATATGTTTAGTTAGTCTCTGGTAAAATCTTCACATAATTATACCTCTTCCGCATGATTATGACTTATTTCCTGCAATATAATGATTTGGTGGCTTATATATCTAACTGTAGATGGTGATATTAACATCGTGGTATGTGTTATAATCATCTATAGCATATACATGATATTCACAACCCTCAGGACGGTTAATATTTTCACTATTAACCTAAAGTCGAACGAAACAGTGAAAATGAGTCAAAATTTTAATAAGGAGAGGAAAAACGATAAATCTTATCACGGTATCGTTATTTGTAGCTCAGTTTGGTAACCTTGACGACAATAAAATTTTTATGACGATATAAGCTTGGATCATGTTATTTCATATAGAAATAAATGGTTGTCAACCTTTGGTGCATAGTTAAGTAGAAATAATTGCTAGTCTGCGATGCAAATACAAAAAAAATATTATAGCAGCACCTGAATAATGACTTTTTAAGAACTTCGCGATACTATGTGCCGCAAAATGGACAACCCTCTTCTCACCTCATTGTGAAAACGGAAAATAAACTTCCAAACTTATTTATAATTAATTTCGAATTTTGACTGTGCACAAGGCGGAAATGAAAACGTAGCGCAAAAGCTGTCGCGATACCTCTTGAGCGTTGCCTTGCCTTCAGCTAGGTGAGTCCACTAAAACTAATGTGGTCAGCATCCAATGTTAAAAACCTACGGGGCCATTTATTTCGGGGATTTACTTACCGCTGCAGATCACTTCACCCTAGTGAGGTAGTGATGACCCTAAGAAGTGGCCAGCCACATGCTTAAAACCACGGAGTCTGTCGTTGGTAAATATTTTTTGATAGCGTGCTATGCTTAGCAGCGTCTGATCGTCTTTCCTTACCATAAAGGACCATGAAGTACAACTTAGTAAAAAATAATGAAAAAATACAAAGAATTTTCGGTTCATCGTAAACTCCATCGTTCTTCTCATTGTCTTTTCCAGCCGTCCGGAAAACAAAAAAATATGTAAGCGCATGTCTAAATAAGCTCGTACGCGCTTTAGGACACAAAGCGGGCGAAAAAAGAAACTAAACTCATGCACACGTAATAGTTTAAAAAAATAATTTTTATAATACGGTTTTTTCGCTTTGTTTTT